ACTGCTCCGCCGCCTCGCCCACAGGTGCACGGTGCACTGCCCCAGACAGCAACACACACTCGCAATTCCCCAAAGGACATTGAGCAACAGGGCGAAGAGGCGCGAGAGAGCGCGCGGCCGCGCGGCGAGGCGAGGCGAGGGCGAGGAGATAAGATCTGCAGCTCGTCCCCTCAAGCCCTGCGACCCCCCCCTCGTTGAGGTCGCGGTGCGAGAAGAAGAGGCCTCTCCGCAGGAACCTGTGCCGCGCCGGCCGGCCCGCGCTGCCGCCAGAGTGGGGGTGTCCGCTCACTGCGCCGTCGTACGCTCTTCCTGCCCCACCTGCCCCACTCTCTCCCTACCGTCCCCCCTCCTCCTCCTCCCCTCCTCCTCCTCTTCCTCCTCCTCCTCTTCCTCCTCCTCCTCATTATCATGATCAGCAGCAGCACCACCATCAGCATCATCAGCAATAGTATCATCATCATCATCATCATCATCATCATCATCATCATCATCATCATCATCATCATCATCATCATCCTCATCCTCATCCTCATCCTCATCCTCATCCTCATCCTCATCCTCATCCTCATCCTCATCCTCATCCTCAGCATCATCAGCAGACTCATCATCAGTAGCAGCAGCAACATCAGCAGCATCCCCATCATCAACACCACCACCATCATCAGCGGCAGCATCATCAGCATCATAAGTATCACCAGCTAGCCTTCCGTCTCCCAGGGGCGGCGCACACGTTAAGCGTGACGTATGACGCAGTACTTGTTTCAAAACGCCGCGGCGAGGGCCTCGCAGGATCCCGAGAGGCGTTCACCACCCAGAAGCATTTGAATCCGCACGGCTCCGAGATCTGTTGGAGACGGCGGGCACCCACAGTCGGGCACGCTTCTTCGAGGGCGGTGGTCGGGGAGGAGCAGGGAAAAAAGACAGAGCAATGGCTGATTGCAGCAGGGACCCCGCTTTGTCCGCAATACAAAATGGGTGGTAGCTTGGTGCGCGAGATGGCCTTCAATGAGTCGGGCTGAGGCAAGCTGCGCAGCGTCCCCAGGGCGGACCGGTGGCGCAGCATCCCCGCGGGCTTGGCGCAGCGTCTCACCCGAGGATGAGCTGAGCCAGCGGCCTCGAGTCTGCAAGGCTGCGGCCGAAGCGCGACGACGCCACGCGTCATGGCTGGGGCTGGCATGCCTGAAGCTGTGCGGCGAAAAAGGCAGCGAAGCGTCGAAGTGTTGCGTCCGCCACTCTCGGCAGGCCGCTGCCCAGCGCGCGGCCGTCAGATACGGGGAGAGCGGGGCAGAGAGCTCACGTGGCTGCCTGGCGGCCGCCCGCTTGGCCAGCTGCATCACGAGGTCCGCACCCAGCCTCTGTCGAAACCTCCGACGATGGTCGAGGCGTCGAAATCGAAGTTCTCCGTCGGCGGCAGCTCGGGATCGTCGAAGGCAAAAGGAGCCGCTGCGAGGACCACGTCGGAGAGCCTGCCGCAGGCATCGTAACGTGCCTCACCGCGAGCCCGAGCACCTCGGCCGGCCGCAGGTAGCAGTCGAAGGCGATGATGGACGCGGCAGCCGCGGAGGCCAGGACCCCGCCAGCCCGCAGCCACGCGTCGCAGGCGAGGTGCATGCACTCGGCGGGGAGCGAGTCGCGGGGCTGCTCGGGCGAGGCTCGCGAGAAGCCGTGCAGGGCAGCCTTCGCGAGCGGCAGGGTAGCCTTGTTTCGAGGCGGCAGGCCGAGGCAGCAGGCCGCGCGGCACGCCGCGTACCTCGCCTTGGCCGGCGCCGCCCCCCCCCCCCCCGGAACATGGCGCCCAGGAGCTAGTCGAGCACGGCGTCCCGGGAGGCGGGCCCCGTGGGCTCGCGGCCGCGAGCCCGAGCCCCAGCGCCCAACCTCGGCGCAGGCCTCCTGGCAGTGGCCAGCCGTCCGCGGCCGCAGGGCGGCTCGGCGGCAGGCGCCAGGGGCCTCGCCACGGGCGTCGCTCCTCGCGGCGCCGCGGCGCTGGGCGGCGCGCCGCTCGGGCGCCGCGTGGGAGCCGACGCGCCGATGGACAGCCTGCTCGACCCCCCGGGGGTCGCCCCCCCAGTGCGAGGCGGCCCCCTCCCAGCCGACCCGAGCGGCGCGCGGGAGGCAGGGGGCTGCCACGCGTCCCCCGCAGGCCGGCCCGCGGCCCGCGCGGCAGCCGGACGGCAGTCCCAGAAGTCATCGAGGACGGGCCCCCGCGGGCGCCGAGAGCCGCCACCCGAGACCCGCCCGCGAACCACCCCGCGCCCGCCTCCTCACTCTTGTCCGCAATTGCGGGGTGCTACGTACACATAAACATGAGTAGATATATGTGTAGATATATACACATAGATAGATCGGAGGCTGGGGGGTGAGATCGCAGTGAAAAGGAGAGCCCCCCACTGGGAGAATGGTTTCGGTATCGTGTCGTGCACGCGGGCGAGGCGAAGCTGCGTGGGCGGGCGAGGGGGAATGATCCCGCCCTGGCTAGAGCGAAACCGGGCTCGATATCTCTCCTCCCACAGGTTGGCCGGCGGTGGCCTGGGGGTGTCCCGCCGGTGTTCCGTGGTGTCCCGTGGTGTCCCGTGGTGTCCTGTGGTGTCCCATGGCGCGGTGTCTCGCAGTGTCCCGTGGTGGCCCGAGGAGGTCGAGGGTGAAATCGATAGTGAGATCGATCTGTGAGATCGACTGAGTGAGATCGATAGTGATATCGGTAGTGAGATCGATAATGATATCGATATTGAGATCGACAGTGAGATTGACGGTGAGGTCGATAGATAGTGAGACGATGATGAGATCGACGGTGAGGTCATCACCATCACAATCGTCACAGTTCCCACCGTTCGTCAATCACCCCAACACAACCTCCTTTTCACTCGAAGGGTGGTCGTGTAGGCGTATATACACATTGATACACACGCAGATCTAGATTCATGCATAATTTCACACGTACATCTGCATGCGTTTCCTCCTCCTCCTCCTCCTCCTCCTCCTCCTGCTCCTCCTCCCTCCTCCTCCCCGCAAGAGGGCAAGGAGGCGAGGTCCCGAGCCGAAGCCTCCGATTCTCTGGGCCTCGCCGATGACAAAAGCTGCGCCCCACGCGGAACGACGCGCCCGAGCGGACCCTCCTCGACAAGGGCGCTCGAACATTGTTTTTGCCGCAGCGATGGCGATCGCGCACCATGTCCGTAGCCTGAGCGGGGGCAATGCTAGGCGAACAGAGCACAACATAGCGCGGAACAGACAAGGGCGGCCGCGGAGAAGGGAACGGGAGGGCAGCGCACTCAGACCGCGAGGGACACGAACAAGCAGGCGCTGAGACCACCACGGCGACACCGTGCGCGGGCCCCGCGCCAGGCTGACCGCGGCACCCGGCCTGCGCAAAATTGCCACCGCAGCCACGGCGGTGGAGACCTCCCGACCGGGGCCGGAGCAGACGGGGGCCGGAGGATCGCGCCGCACCGCCGACGCACTGGGCGGTGCACCTGCGCCGTCGGGACGAAGACCATCGGACTCCGGATCGCGCCGCGTCGCCGATGCATCGGCGACGCGGCGCGCTCCTCCGACACCAACTGCTCGGGCCCAGTTCGGGAGGCCCGGGGGGCAGGGAGGAGAACCTGTGGGCCCTCTTGCCGGTGAGGCGCTCGATCCTCTCGATCTGCTCCTGCGTGATGGGCTGGCATCCGAACTGCTCGATGAGCTTGTCGTAGTCCACCCCATCCTCTCCCGCCTGCGCCGGGGCTCGAGGCTTCGAGCTCGCCGAAACCAAACGCGAAAATGAAGGAACAAAAAAAGGCAATATTTGCAATGAAGACAGCAAAAAAAGAAAGACGAGTGCGTTCGGTAAACGAAATAATTGCACACGGGCCTGAATCCTGGCCATCGGCGCTGTTCGCAGAGGCGAGAGAGGGGGACACGAGGTTTTGGAGCCCCTCTGGAGCCCTGGTGGATCTTGCCGAAATCGGCGCGTTCCCACGATTCGCCAATTTCGGCGCGTTCCCACGAAATCGGCGCGTTCCCACGAAATCGGCGCGTTCCCACGAAATCGGCAGCATCTCCAATATCATTTTAGGCCGCAAGTTCGGCAAGCGCCCATTTGCTTTCAGAGGTTGTTTGCCTCCAATGACACCCATTTGCTTGTCTTCAAGTTGCAGAGCGGCTTCGGCCTTTGCGCCCTACCCTGCCCGAAAAATAGTGCAGCTCTCACGCGCAGTCCGCCTCCCCGCGCCCGTCAGTTGCAACGTTCGAGCAGGAGCGCCTCGCGATTCGATCTTCCTATTGTCGTCGGCGAGAGAGCTGCCTCAACACTGGGATCGGGGGCGCAAATACATAGAAAAGCAAAAAGCTGCACTTGTATCCGGAGGGAGGGTAGTGCTGCGAGTGCGCATCCTCCTCTGGGTCCCCATGCACTCATCCACCCACCCACCAATATTCCCCCCATCCATCCTTCTTTTCAGCAGACGGGGCTCGGACGGTCTCGACAGAGCCACCTCTGGCAGCGCTGGGTCACTCCCAGCATGGGCATACCACGTGGGCTGCCCGAGCAGGTACCTTACCCCGCCGTAGACCAATGCTCGAAGCCTCTCACGACTCACGACGTCATACAGCCTACACTCAGGACATAGGGTCCGTGCTTCAGCAGCCGAATCTCTTAACAGTGTTGCACTGTAGTGTCGCGTTTCCCTGTGCGTTCAAGTTGATGGCCCTCCACGTGTGCCTCCCCACTCTCTCCCCCGGTCCGCCCATCTCCCGCTCCTAATCTCCCTGCTCGATTTCGTGGAAAAGAGTGGCTACGGTTCGTCACGGATGGGGGGACTCGCAGGGTAAGAAGCCACAGCTCATACAAGTTCCTTCCATGCAGGGATCGCATTGATTTTCGTCGCGCTCCCCCCACACACTTTTCAAATTGTCGCAAAACCTGATAGGATTTTTGAAAGTTGCATACGAGCGGCAAAGTTTGAGTTCTTAGAGGGGGGCCCTGTCCCTGGTGTAATTTGCAAATCTCTACGCGAGCAAGAACCTACATGCATGGCACACTGCTCGCAGACGTTATGCTTGCTATCAAGAGTGTACCAGCACGCCCTACCGACGGAGCGCAGCCGAGTCAGAAGGGAAACTCATACGGCAATATCACTGCTTGGCAGCGTTGGTGGGGAAAGCCCCTACACGGAAGAACAGATGTGCGACGGCAGTTGAACTCAGAGGGGACGTAGAGGTAGCTTTTGGGAGGCACCTCGACCTGAACACACACACACACACACACATGCAATCACAAGCACACACACACACACATAAAGCACACACGCGCAGTCCTTTGCGAGCCAAGTGAAAGCTGTTTCGGCCCGCGCTCTCACACTTGCTCCTCCGAAAGTCTGTTGGAGTGGGGCCAGCTGTAGCAATCGAGCACGGGCAGTAGCAGCCCGCGCGCACACACACACACACACAGACACACACACACACACACACTCTCTCACACTCACGTACACGCGCGCACACATGCAGTCTGTCTCTCCCCCTCCCCTCCACAAAATGTGTGCACACATGAGCGTGCACACTGACATCTGCAGATCGCCGCCTCTGCGCCGGTCACGCCCGCAGCGACTGTGCAGCACGTGGGGGCGGACGCGGGAACGCTCGTAGACCAGGGGTCCAAGCGGCAGAGGTGCCGCGCACAAACGCGCCTGTGTCCCAACGAGCGGCCGCTCCAGGACAGCCGTGCACGCGCGAGCGCGCGCACCATGAGGGGCTCCACCGAAGAGCGTAGCGACGAGCACAGCGCTCACGAGGGAAGTGGAAGCTCGACACAGCCAGCCACGCGGCAGGACAGCAGTGAGCTCACAGGGCGGGGGGGGGGGACTGCAACGCAGGAGGGAGGATGAGGAGCAGTAAGGGGGCTACGACGAAGGGCGGGGGAGCGATGGGGAAGGAGCGACGAGGGAGGGCAAGCGCACGTGGCATGAGGCCCGCCACGCGCGCCTGGTGCCACGTACGCTCGTGATGGGGGAGGAGCGATGAGCGCATGTGATAAAGGATGAGTGGCCAGGGAGGAGTGGCCAGGGAGGAGTGGCGAGGATGGGGGGAGGAAGAGGAGGAGCTGGGGCGGAGCGGAGGAGAGGAGGACACGGAGGAGGCGACGACGTAAAAATGCTGTCCGTACGGCGGCACCCTCGGCCTCAGATCTCAGCTCCACGGAAGGCCTGCGGCCAAGGCGAGACTCCTCCGAGTCGTGGCGGGACGGGAGGCAGCCAAAAAGGGGGGCAGGGACGAAGGCAGGGAGGAGGAGGAGGAGGAGGAGGAGGAGGAGGAGGAGGGTGGAGGCCAAGGAGGAGGAGGACCCAGCCTTACATGGGAGGCGGAGGAGGACAAGGACAAGGAGGAGGGGGATCTCTGTATCACCTCAAAGATGCTCGAAGGAGGAGGGGGAAGAGGGAGCATGAGGGACGAGGAGGAGCAAAAAGAAGGCGAAAACATTCCGTGAGAGTGGCTAACTAACTTGCAGGGGCTGACGCGAGTCCGAAAAAACTGTTGGGGTGAGGCCGCCCAGGCTGGAAAAACTGGTGGGAGACTGGCAAGGGCAGGCAAGAGTTGGGAGGGCTGGGCCCAGACACACTCCCAGACATGCGGTGTCTTGTTTTTTCAATACATGCGCGGTCCCCAGAAGTCCTGATCCTTTCTCCAAAGCCGTTTTTGCATGCCGAGTCGTTTTTGAAAGTCCTGGGGCCTGGCAAGGGCCCCGAGAGGCCGAAAACGACGAATCGCCTCCGCCCTGATTTTTGTCAAGACGTTGCATGTCTGAGCGGTTCAGCCTCCCTATGCGAGAAGGAGCTCGAGGGCATCAGTCGCGCGTGGCAGCACTGCCCGCAGCTCGAGGCTCGAAGCACGAGGAAGGCCCGCCGGGCACCCGCCTCGACGTCCCACGGCGTGACCACCTGCTCCTTGGCGCCCTTCGCTGGCGCCTCCTCGGAGCCCTGGGGGGTCCCCCAAGCCGGGAGGGAGGGGCCAGAGAGGACGACGACGACGACGAGGATCGGGCACGCGCTAGCATGAAATAAGGATCCGTGGATCTGGCTCGTGGGCGACAGGGCCATGGATCGGGGAAAGCACCCCCGAAACAGAAAGCGGGTGCCGCCCGATTTGGCGACAGAGCGCGTCGAATTTGCATGGAAGCCGGACCCGTCGCTAATCCACGCGCCTCGACCCATGCTTGCTTTCCTCGAGAGGGGGAAGAGGTAAGAAGATCTGCCCCCTCCCCCTCTCCAGGAGCTCCGCATGCACCTCCGCATGAGAAGAGCCGCCTCCTGACAGGTGGGAGGGGGACTCCACGAGGCAGCAGTTAACCTGGGAGGATGGTTCTGGACAGGCACAGCCATCCCCACCCTCCCCGAAGAAGCCTTGGCCCCGCTGGCAGGACCTAAGACGACGCCAAGACGAGGATAAATTCGGGTGAGGATAACTCGAATCTCTGAGATCTGGCGGATCTGGAGGATGTCTCGGGCGCCGCGGCCTTCTCAGAGCGTTCCGGAACGCTCTGAGATCGTTCTGGAACGCTCTGGAACAGATTTCTCCTCGTCCTGGCCCCGTCCGAGGACCTGCCCCCCGCCCCCATTATGTGGGGATAGAGGGGCCGTCTCCACCGGGTCTCGCAGCACCCGCACCACCCGCCTAGAGGGGGTATACTCTGGGAGGGCAGACCTCCCTGTCCAGGTCGGAGCTTTGCTGTTCCTGGCGATTATGAACGACAGCGACCCCGACAACCGACGGGGACTGCGGTCGGGAACTTTTGCTTGGCGTGCCGCTGCGGTGGCCCCAGCGACACGCTGCGCCTTGCAAGCGGGCGGCATGTCGCTCCGCTCCGCGGGCCGGAAGGCCCAGGAGAAGCTCCTGACGTTGACGCCTGGGGACCAAGTGCCGCGCCGAAGCATGGTGGGCCAGAACTGGCGGCGCGACACGCTGAGCCAAAGTTCCTGACCGCAATGGCGGAGTCTGGGAGGAGGCCACTCTGCACTCCGCCCTCGGAGTGGAGGCATGGAGGGAAGCACATCGTGGACAGAAGACGGGGGGCAGCCGGAGCGGCGGAAGCAGGAGCGTGCTCTGACCGCATCAGGAGTAACATGAATAGGAGCAGCAGCAGCAGCAGCAGGAGGAAAAAGCCATCTGGTGGACCCCTTCTTTCGAGACATGCGCCCCTGGACCGCTCGACCCCTCCCCCGTGGCCCGCTCTTCATCCCTGGCCGTCTCCTGATGGCCGTTTTCTGAGCCCCGAAGCCCGGCCCTGAGGACCGAAACCGCTTGAGAAAGGCCCAGGATTGCGAAGAGGTCGCCGTCTCGATGCTTCGGCTCTGCTGGATATCTAGGCATCCGATGCTCGACGTTGTTCGATCGGGATCCCTGGAAGTTCCGACCCTTTCCGACAAAAAACTAGTTCTCATGCTGAGTCGTTGTTTGGCAATCCCTAGGCCCAGCGAGGCCGAAAACGACGGAACAATCCGCCTTGAGCTCTCAAGATGTCGGATGCCTGCGTGTCTGAAGGGCAAGACGGCGACGACGAGGGCGACGACGAGAAGCAGCAGCGGGGCAGACGGGTGGACACACGTGTGGGCTGGTGAGTGCTCGCGTGAAATAACAGGTAGGCCAAGAACGACAGGTCCACGGCTCACAGGTCCAAGTGCAGCACCGTCGCATCGTTGCGTAATTAATCCTGCTTCTCGGCTTCTCTTCAAGATGACTGGGGGAAAGCTACAGAGGTATAGTGGCTCAATAGGTGAACATAGACCTGGAATCGGCGACACATCGCCGATACATCGTCGATAGGCCCCTGGGAGCGAAATCTGGCTAGAAGGTCCCGATCGACAATACATGGGCGATTGGGGTTCGATGCGACCCCCCTGAGCCTACCCCCCACTAACGTTGCCCTTGATATCGTCGTCGTCGCGTTCGTCGTCGTCGCCGACGCCGCCCGCAGCCACCGTCGTCGTGGCCGTCGTCGCCGCTGGCCGCGGCCACGGGGAGGGGGGGAGGAAATGGAGGGAGGAGGGAGGACGCTGCTGAGGATTCGACGCGGGCTGCTGGTGATGCGCTGCTGATAAGGCGATGAAGCGTGCTCCTGCTGACGGAGGAGATGAGGAGGAGGAGGAGGAGGAGGAGGAGAAGGAGGACTGAAGACGCAGGAGGAGAAAGGAGGAGGAGCAAGCGAGCGAGCCACCAATGCGGAGCATCCTCCAGCCCTAACTAAGGCTAGGCGGGCGAGGCCATTGTCTCTTCTAATACATATATGTGTGTGTGTGCATGCGTGTGTTCGTACATACAAATAAAAACACCGATTTGCATGCATGCATACATATATATATACACATATACATATACATATACATATACATATACATATACATATACATACACATATACATATACATATACCTATACATATACGTATACATATACATATACATATACATATACGTATACATATACATTACACACACATGTGCATATGCATGTACATATACGTATACTTATACATATGCATATATATATATATATACATATACATATACATATACATATACATATACATATACATGCATGCATGCATACATGCGTACATGTATACATGCAAATTTACAAACATACATACATCAATACATTGGTGTACCAAATCAGCCATAGTGTCATCCGTACAAACATAAATTATATACACGAAATACAATACATAATGTACACACCTCTATACATTATATACAATACGTTCATGTATAAAGACTTACCTGCATAGAAATAAACATACATATACATACAGACATGCATGCATACATACATATGGACGTGCAGGCATGCGTACATGCACACATGTATGCATTCATGCACATGTACATACATAATCACACACATGCCTACAGACAGCCATGGATATATGTATGTATATGCATGCATGCCTGCAAGCGTGTGGCCATGTATACACACATACTTTACATACATTGCATGCAGCACAGCAAGTAAATACATTATACACATACACACACATACACATGCATACGTTCATAAATGTATACACATATACATACACATACACGTATACATACACATACCCATACATATACATACACATACACATACACAGATATGCATACATACATGCACACATACAGACATGCACACGCACCCACACATACGTGCACACACGCGTACATGCATGCATGCATGCATACCTATACATTCATACATACATAAGAACACAAGTCTGCCACCGTGCCATCGGGCACGGAGTGGGAGTGCTCTCAGGTCCCGTGCTGTAGTCCTCAGCCCTCTGCATGAAGATTCTTCATGGACCTGGACCCCAGAGGGCCGAATCTCCTGCGGTCCTGGGCGGCTTGTCGCATGTTTTGTTCGGTCGAGTGGGCCCCCAGACGGCCAAGAGGGCCCCAAGAGGGCCCCAAGAGGCCCCAGGACGGTCCGAGAGGGCCCCGAGTCGCCGAACGATCGGTCCAAGACGCCCAAGGTGGCCGCCAGACGGCCCCAGAGGCCTCCAAGACGCCCCAAGAGTCCTTCGAGATGCCTCCCAAGAGGCCCGCAAGAGGCAAAAATCAATGATTTTCGTTAGGTCTTCGAAAATGTTGGCGTCATCGCCATTTCGGCTTCCCGACGCCCCAAGACGGCCCAAGGCGCCCGAGATCGCCCCAAGACGGCCCAAAAGGCTTCCAACAAGACCCCAAAACGGCCTAAGAGGGCACCAAGACGCCTTAGGAGGACTCTAAGACGGCCCAAGGAACCCCCAAGACTGCTCCAAGAGAGGACCCAGACGGGGGACCCCGACGGACAGTTCGAGCCCTTGACCCCGAGAGGCCCCCGGGAGGCCCCAGGAAGCTCTTGATAGGCCCCCAAAGGCCCACAAGAGGCCCCAGGGAAGCCCCAAGAGGCTACAAAGAGGTCCCTGAGAGCCCAAGAGGTCCCAAAACTTTCCTCAAGGGGCCTCCGAGAGCGCTCCAAAAAGACCCCAAGCAGCATCCCTCAGGGCTCTGACCCACAATACAGGCAGGGTGGCGGGACTGGCTGAAGGCCGTGAGCTACGAATACAACAAACATGCACCTGCATACATATATATATATATATACATATATATACATAGATATGCGAACATACACCTGCATGTACATATGTGTGTATATATAAATATATATGCATATACCTTTGAAGCTATATGCATGTAAACAAGTATTGTATACATGTACGCACGCATATAAATATACATGTGTATTTACGAACACGCATTAACATGTGTACATATGTTTAAACACAACTGCATATACCTACACATGTACACACGAATATGCATAACTATCGTTCCACCTACATATGATTGTACATATGCAAAAGTAACACTTACATACACGTAGACATATACAAATAGATGTAACTATGCGAATACATGTACACATACACCTATACACATACACGTACATATACAGATACGAATGCATATGGGAAGACATGAGCACTGACACAAACATATACATATATAAGTGAATACCTGCATACATGCATATACATATGTGTACACCTACATTTGCATGTACATGTGCATGTATATAAGCGTATGCATACGAATCAACATATACATGCACCCCTGCACGTACGGGTACCTGCACACATGCATGTACATATTCACGTAGATGTGTACGTATACCTGGGCATGCACGTACAACTAAACATAACCAACTGCATGTACCTATGCGTACAACAGTATGTGTGCATATACAAATAAATACATATAGACATTTTATATATATATATATACATATGCACAGACACGCATGCACTTACTCCAATACATATAGACATGCAGATATACATACATGCACAGATGCATATACATACATATACATTGCGTAGACCTATGACTAAACAATAGCATACACATACACATGCACATGTGTACACCCATAAGCATGTAAAGAATTGTGGACATTTCCAGATTGATAAAACATGTATACCTATACATATAACTGCAAATAAGCAAAGCCCACATATCGATGTATACATGTATACATACATACATGTACATAGACATGTGCATCCATATATACATACACACTCACATTTACATACACCTATACATATATATGCATCGACACACACGTGTGCAAATATACAGATACACGTACATAAACATGCACATATACATGTACATATAAAAACATAATAAACATAAACATAAGCACACACATGACTACACACATGCCTATACCATCACATACGTATAGAAATACATGCGCGTACGATCTATAAACACATACATACATGTGTACGCATGTACATATACATATCTGAATACCTACACATACACAAATATGCACATCTATATATATATAGACATGTGTACCTCAACATTAATGTATACATACACATATATATATATACATGTATACACTGTCGCGTATAAAAAAGCACGTCCCATGTGCTGCGAGACAAAGAATGCGTCGGTATGGGAGAGGACGGAGGGGAATCCTTGTAGTCGGCGTTCTCGTGCGTGGGTGGTGCTGCACAGTGGTGTGCGTATGACTGTTAGTTCCCGAATAGCATTTCGCAAGAGCGCAAGAGGGTTCTAATGGTGATACAGTCGGATCTAAGCCAGAAAAACACATTTAAGCACATGAGACCCTCCGCTGGCCAAAACACACAAAACATCCAAGGGTACCCTCCCCAGGACGCACAAGAGCATCAAACAAACACGAAGAACCTTAGGAGACCCTCCCCGAATCGACCTCGGTCTTGTACCTCGGTCGGACTGTACAACAGGTCCACAGAAGAGTCCTCCAGAGGGGACGGGGAGCCTTAGACCGCACTGTCCCGCGGCTGGTCTGGCGGCCGTTTCGCCGGATACCTCCTCACAACTGATTATGGAATCGTGGTCTCTTCAGAATGTCGGCTACAGTTGTGGTATGGAAGGCCCGAATCCCTAGGACAAGAACACACTTCCACTACCGTGATGTCCCCCTGCCCCCATATAGCCGACCTCCTACTCCTCGACCTGCCTCTTCACCTTTGCTGCTATCAGGGTGCGTTGCTGTGATAATGAATGTGTTTTGCTTCAGCGGCTTGTGTGAACTCGTAAGTGAAAGCGGCTGGAGGGAAGAGGAGGAGGAGGAGGAGGAGGTGGAAGAGGAGGAGGTCTGCGCGACAGCTACGCATGTCGCTCGGCCAGGAGCGCGAGCTCGCGGCCCACGCCGCGCTGGCGGCCGAGATGGCTGGCTAGCCTGCCAGGCAGTGCGGGCAGGGCAGTGGACTGCCGATTCGTCTCGCTGCTCTACACCATATTCGCGGTCCTGGACACGGTAAGTGGGGGTCGCGCGTATGTTCGCGTGGACATAATGTCGACCCCCACAAGAGGAGGAGGAGGAGGAGGAGGAGGAGGAGGAGGAGGAGGAGGAGGAGGAGGAGGAGATAAGCATAAAGCCGCTTCGCCTTTCGCACAGGAGATAGGAAACTCGGCTCGACCTCTCGACTTCTTGACATCCAGGCAGGAGCCTGGGAACCCCTCTTTGGCATAAAGGCCGTCGCCGTGCCGATGATGCTGCAGAAGCGGTGGCGCATCGCGGACAAAAGAGGGCCTCGGGCAGGGACCCCTGGCACTCTCGCACGTGCTCCTACGCGCCCGGCTCGACCTCCCGAGGTCTTCGCATCGCGGGTGGGAGCACGCAACCGCCCCGCAATCCGAGGCCCACGAGTTCGCTACACCGAACCGTCCCAGTGGGGGGAGGCGGGCAACCAGCGGGCAAGAGCAGGACGCCAGGCGCAAGGGGCCGAGGGCCACGAAGCGCCAGGTGATAGCAGGAGGAGGGGGAGAAGCAGGAGGAGGAGGCGGGACGAAGAGGATGAGGGGGAGGGGGAGGAGGAAGGCGGAGGAGGAGGAGGGAGAAGGAGGAGAAGGAAGGAAGAGAAGGAGGAAGACGAGGAGGGAGGAGGAGAATGGAAGAGGGGGGGAGGAGGAGGAGGGAGGAGGAGGAGGGAGGAGGGAGAACGAGGAGCCCAGCCTGTGTGAAGGCTTGTGTGAACCCGTAAGTGAAAGCGGCTGGAGGGAAGAGGAGGAGGAAGAAGGAGGAGGAGGGAGGAGGAAGGAGGAGGACGAAGGAGGAGGAGGAGGACGAAGGAGGAGGAGGAGGGAGGAGGAGGGAGCCTATCCCCTCGAGGGCTGCCCCACGAGGTGGGCAGGAGCAGCGCAGGCGCGCCTCCGCCTCGGGCTCCGCCTCGGGCTCGGTGGCGCGCAGCGCGGTGGGGCCCCGCAGGGGCAGCGCGGCGCGCGCTGCGGCGCGGCGGCCCTGGGGCGCCCAGGCCCCCTTCGGAGGGCGCCAACTACACAGCGTCGTCGTCGTCGTCGTCGTCGCCGCCGCCGCCGTCGTTGCCGTCGTCGTCGTCGCCGTCGTCGTCGTCGCCGCCACCGTCGTCGTTGCCGTCGTCGTCGTCCTCGTCGTCGTCGTCGCCGCCGGCGTCGTCGTCGTCGACGTCCTCCTTCTCCTCCTCCTTGTCGTCGTCGTCCTCCTTGTCGTCGTCGTCGTTGTCGTCGTCGTCGTGGTAGTCGTCGCCGCCGCCTTCGTCGTCGCCGTCGCCGCCGCCGCCGGCAGCGGCGGCGACCGCTGCGGCCCGAGGTCCTCAAGGGCCTTGGAAGGCCATGTCGACACTATCCGAGCGGGGCGCAGCCAGCGAAAGTGGCCAAAGATGGCCGCAGGGGAAAGATGCAAGGGTAACCTCGGAAACTCGCTCATCCTTACTATGCGCGTTGGCTGTAGCCTACACGCCACCCAGCAAGGAAAAAACAGACCTTGGGGAAGCACTGGCACCCAGCGCGAAGAAACACAACAGGGCGACAACGACGACCATAAAATGCACTGGCGCACGGCTTGACTCCACAATTGCGCGGCACCAGCACCGCATTGCGCACACGTCGCGGTCTTGGCGCGAACTGCATGGCGCTATACCATACCACGCGGGCAAGACGCTCACGCAGCGCTAGTGGTAGGTACACTCCACTCGATGCTGTATAAACCGTAGAAATGTTTGTTTGTCAGCAGCGAGAGCGAGCGCACAAGACGTGCTGGAAGATGGCGGGCCGCGTCGGGGCTACGGGCACGCACAAACGTCAAGGAGAAGGAAAGGGCTGCCACGGGGGAGTAAAGCGGGGGGAGGCCTGAGGCGTTGAGAATCTTCTCCACGAGAATCTTCTCCACGAGAAGGCCTCCGCGCACGCCTCGTGGAGAATCTTCCCCACGAGGCGCGCGCGGGCGGCTTCAGGCGCCCGGGGCCGGTGTGCCAAAAGGTATCCGGTCAGTCCGAGCTGCCAAAAGGTACCCGGTCAGTCCAAGCTGCCGAAGGGACGGCAGCGCCGTGACCACCAGAGAGGCAAGCCGTCATTTACAGCAGACATGTACGATAATAAATAGTGCTACAAGAAATCTCGGTGCACATTCTTCGTCGGTCTTCGAGGGTCATAGGGCACATGCCCTGGGACTTCTGTGGTCTGTTGGGATGTCGGTGTTGGTGTGGTGTGGGGAGGGCGGGACGGGCCGCCAGCGCACGTGTCCATCAACAACAACAACAACAACAACAACAACAACAACAACAACAACAACAACAACAACAATTACTAGCACGTGGGGACACTCCGTTCTCACCAGTGCCAGGGTTTTCATACGACGCCCGCCAATACCCCCACTTTGTGGGGGGGCCGGTTCAAGCTCTACCACATTTCCAAACGACTCTTCGCCACCACCCACACCCAGCTTCCCGCCCTATGACGTTCGGACACTTCACTTCGTGGCCTGCGGACGACCGTGGCTACTACACTGGCGCATGGGTACAGTGACTTGTTGTGGTAACATAGGACATTGGTTTTTTAGGATTCGGACAGCGCGCGCGGGTAGAAATTTTGAAAATTCGTATAGATGTTTTTCGAGGACCTACGGTGCGATTCGTATGATTTTATGTTGCGCGGTGTTAAAATTCCTAAGAAACCCAATGGTTTTTGAAGATTTCGGCGTGCGCGCGCGAAGAAAAAACGAATGTGTCCCGCATGGTATTATTTGACAGGGATGATGGCCCTGGCAGGTGCGCAACCGTTGTTGGAGAAGTTCGAAGCACGTGAAAAAGTTGCTCGCAAAAGCCCGTTTGACAGAAATGTTCAAAAAGTGTTGGGTTCCTACAAATCCGCAAGAGCGCGCGGGATGAATTTTTGAAACTTTTTTTTTGAAAAAACCATTGGGTTTTTCATGTTTTTATGTTAAAATCGCTACGAAAACTAAGGTTTTGGAAGGATTTCATCTTGCGCGCGCGAGTGTGCACTTCGTGTCATTTTTTGCAAAGGATTCTTGAAGTTTGGTTATGTTAGAACAAGACATGTCATTTTATATTGTTTTTTGACAGGGAAAGCGGGCGTCAACAAAACAACCGGATCCGGACTCCCCCGTTTTGCCTGAGACTTCCTCACGAAAATGATGAAAATGTGGCTGCGGCCTAGGCGCGGCGAGGGGGGCGTCCACCAGGGGGCCCAACAATAATTATTCTTTAGAAGTAATAATATTCAACAACAACCACAACAACAACAGCAGCAGCAGCAACAGCAACAACAACCAGAACAACAACAACAACAACAACAACAACAACAACAACAAGAACAATAACAACAACAACAAGAACAATAATAATAACAACAACAACAACAACAACAGCAACAACAACAACAGCAGCAGCAGCAACAACAACAACAACCATCACAACAACAGCAACAACAACAACAACGACAGCGACAACGACGACAACAACATCGAAAACAACAACAACCACAACAACAACGACGACGACAACAACAACGACGACAACAACAACAATCATGTTGGTACTGTTCGCTCTTACTGGCACGTGTGTCTTGATTTCTGTATACCCCAAACAATCGATACCCGCCCACTTCGTCTTCGATTGCACCCTACTAGGTCACTGACTGAAGTGCGAAAAAGTCTCGAGCGAGAGCGCCGTTCCTCAATTTGGGGGCCTCTCTGGCCAGGGGCTCTCGGAATACGTTTGGAGAAATATCGAACGGGAACCCTTGTCGCCGTGTTTGGGCCTCCACCAACTTGCCTGAAGTACGAGTCGTCATGGCTGGACGTAACAACAACAACAACAACAACAACAACAACTACAACAACAAGAGCAGCAGCAACAACAACAGCAACCACAACAGGGGGATCAACAGTACTTGTTCTCCAGTAGTAAGAGTTCAACAACAGCAACAACAAAAACAACAAAAACAGCAGCAACAGCAACAGCCACAACAACACCAAGAACAACAACAACAACAACAACAACAACAACAACAACAACAACAACAACAACAACAACAATTACTAGCACGTGGGGACACTCCGTTCTCACCAGTGCCAGGGTTTTCATAGGAGGCGGGCAATACCCCCACTTTGTGGGGGGGCCGGTTCAAGCTCTACCAAATTTCCAAACGACTCTTCGCCACCACCCACACCCAGCTTCCCGCCCTATGACGTTCGGACACCTCACTTCGTGGCCTGCGGACGACCTTGGCTACTACACTGGCGCATGGGTACAATGACTTGTTGTGGTAACATTTTCTGTAAGCTAGCTTAGTATACGACTTTTCCCCCTGCAATTGAAGATTTCGGCGTGCGCGCGCGAAGAAAAAACGAATGTGTCCCATATGGTATTATTTGACAGGGATGATGGCCCTGGCAGGCGCGCAACCGTTGTTGCAGAAGTTCGAAGCACGTGAAAAAGTTGCTCGCAAGAGCCCGTTTGACAGAAATGTTGAAAAAGTATTGGGTTTCCTAAGAAATCCGCAAGAGCGCGCGGGATGAATTTTTGAAACTTTTTTTTGAAAAACCATTGGGTTTTTCATGTTTTTATGTTAAAATCGCTACGAAAACTAAGGTTTTGGAAGGATTTCATCTTGCGCGCGCGAGTGTGCACTTCGTGTCATTTTTTGCAAAGGATTCTTGAAGTTTGGTTATGTTAGAACAAGACATGTCATTTTATATTGTTTTTTGACAGGGAAAGCGGGCGTCAACAAAACAACCGGATCCGGACTCCCCCGTTTTGCCTGAGACTTCCTCACGAAAATGATGAAAATGTGGCTGCGGCCTAGGCGCGGCGAGGGGGGCGTGCACCAGGGGGCCCAACAATAATTATTCTTTAGAAGTAATAATATTCAACAACAACAACAACAACAACAACAACAACAACAACAACAACAACAATCATTTTACCCGAACGCGTGGTGTTCTCCCCAGTGCCAGGGTTTTCATACGACACCAGGCAATACCCCCACTTCGTGGGGGGGCATTACAAGCTCTACCAAATATCCAAACGACTCTTCGCGACCACCCAAACCCAGCTTCCCGCCCTATGACGTTGGGACACTTCACTTCGTGGCGTGCGGACGACCGTGGCTACTACACTGGCGTGGGGTACACACCCACAGAACTTGGTCACTTATTCGGCGTGCGCGCGCGAAGAAAAAACGAATGTGTCCCGCATGGTATTATTTGACAGGGATGATGGCCCTGGCAGGTGCGCAACCGTTGTCGCAGAAGTTCGAAAAAGTTGCTCGCAAAAGCCCGTTTGACAGAAATGTTTAAAAAGTGTTGGGTTTCCTACGAATCCGCAAGAGCGCGCGGGATGAGATTTTGACATTTTTTTGTTGAAAAACCATTGGTTTTTTGATGTTTTTATGTTAAAATCGCTCCGAACACTAAGCTTTTGGAAGGATTTCGTCTTGCGCGCGCGAATGTCCACTTTACCTTATTTTTTGCAAGGGATTCTTGAAATTTGATTACATTTGAACAAGAAATTTCATTTTATAGTGTTTTTTGCAAGGGAAAGCGGGGGGGAACAAAACAACCGGATCTGGACCCCATCGTTTTACCTGAGGCTTCCTCACGAAAATGATGAAAATGTAGCTGCGGCCTAGGCGCGGCGGGGGGGGCGCGCACCAGGGGGCCCAACAATAATTATTCTTTAGAATTAATAATGTTCAACCATCACCACCACCACCACAACAACAAAATCATCAACATCATCCTCATCATCAAAAACAAGGGGGACGGACGCCTGGTCCGGCAGCCGTTGTGCCTGAAACTTCCCCACAATTTACGCACTTCCCTTATTCCCAGCCACATGTTTGGCACGGACGCCCACAATCCCCACCCCCGATGTTTGGTCTGGCCCATCTTTGGCCCGGACACACGAGGTGCACATGGCCGTGCTCGCACCCCTTGTCCCGGCTGCATCTTCCCCGGGAACCCTTAGGAACACCTAAACAGGAATGCGCGTTTTCACTGGCCGATCTCTCACTCGTCGACCCACATCACCTTCTATGCTATCAGGGTGCTCTGCTGGGGTGATGCAATTTTGCGTTGCGCTTACCAGCAAGAGTGACTGACCCCTGGCAAGAGTGACCTCTGGTGCGCGGCTCTCTGGGGCCTTGGGATGGGGGGCCAGATCCACGCGCGCAGGCCACTGCGGGGGGAGGGCCCCTGGGGGGCCTCACCAAGGGCCACTCTGGCGAAGGGTCACTCTTACGCAAAGCCGATCCTTCTGGACACCCGCACTGGGCTGGGCACTGAAACATGGGCACGATGCCCAACGACACATGTTGTCCACAAACGACAGCGGCCGCTGTTGGGCAGCCGGCCGACTGCCTCTAATGGACAGCATCCGTGGGGAACTCCGGCAGCGAAGTCTTGGAAGCCGTCGGGGGGTCGAAACAAGTTGGGACCCCAGAAAATCGGTCAGAAGGGGGGGACGAAGCCAAAACCGAACCCCTCCCGGGATCCATCTGGCAGAGTTTTTCATCCCCGATCCGTTCTTGAACCTCGAACCTGCCCGCCCTTCCTGCTGGCCGGAACCAGTGCTGGGCCACCTCAGACCCCCAGCGAGGTCCAACTGATGCTGGTATTCGTACCGATTCTTCCCGTACCCATTCCAAGGGGACATCGACACTGAGTCCCGCTCAAAATGAATATGATTCGCTGCTGTCGCTCGTCGTGCCTTAGGTAATCCCTTTTGGAAGCTCATTCTAACGTATACTGCCTCGGTTTCGTAGCCTTTACTGGCCTTTAGCGGCCTTGAGTGTATTATTAGCGGCCTTTAGTGGCCTTCAATGGCCTTTGAGCAGCCTTTAGCAACCTGCAGTGGCCTTCAGCAGCCTTTGGTAGCCTCTACAAAAGTGTAAAGAAGTGCATTGTGCATGTCAAGACCAGCTTCCAAAAAAGACCCACTTCACACGCCAACTCTTCCCGTGCCCATGTCGATCGTACCGAGTCCTTGGCCCTCCTCGCCGCTCGCCGGGCCGCCAGCCGGCCCAGCACGGCAGAAGTTGCGGCGAGCCCGGCAAAGACCACCCCGCCGGGCGCGGCGCCGGGCGCGGCGGCTGCGGCGAGCTCGTCCTGCGCGCGCAATGCGCCCAGCGGTCGGCGCGACCGAGGCAGAAAGGGCAGACATCCCGCTCAACTGGTGAGGAAAATCCTGGAGCCTGCCATCCGCGCGGGCCTCCAAAAGTTGATGATTATGCTTATGTCATCCTCTGCTCCTCGAACCTGGCGCAAAACTTTCAGAACAACTCGGGCGTTGGCGGGACTGGGTCTAGTGGGGCCTGGTTTGGTGATGTGTACCTGGGAACGCCCCCCCTCCCCGTTCTACTAACCAGAACTGCCATCATCCGAAGAAACACCATCTACAGCAGACTCGGTGCCGTAATTTCGGCGATCTGTTACAGGCTTCGGGGCCCGATCACTCAGCGGCTCCCCTTCGGAAGGGGAGCCGGTTACATCTGCTGTGGCGCGCTGCTCTGCCTGCGGTCCCCCGCGGCTCTCACGCGCCCCCGCGGCCCCTCGCGGGCCCCGCGCGCCTCGCCACGCCGCCCAATCGTGCCCCGGAAGGCCGCACCCCAAGGCGGCCCGAGGCATGCGGTGTGCTGATGATTTCAAGGATGAGAGGGCAGTGGATAATGGCGGCGCGCGCAAGGGGGTAGAGGTAGGGGGAAGGCTTCTTAGACGGATGCTGCTACTTAGAAGGCGCTGGCCATACGTCTACAGAACAGGCCCGCGCCATCTAAGAAGCAGGGGTGCTTCTAAGAAGCCTTCCCTCCTCCCCCTTCCCCCCCTCTGCGAGTGGCCGATAAGGATAGGAGGGCATTGGATAGGAGCGATTGGATAAGGAACCCAGGGTCTGGAAGCCTGCGGAACTCCCATCGCGGATTGGCCATGGATATAACCGCCGCCCTTGTTAGACAAGGAATCCTCCAGGGTCTGAAACCTCCTGGGCATATTCCTTAACCAACGCCCCCCGCCGTTTTCTCTGAGACCATATTCTCCTCGCGCGCAGCCTCTGGCGATGACTCTTTCTGGAAGCTTGCTGCAAAGATCAATCACCTGAGCAAATGCCGGAAGGCTTTGGCCGACAACCTTTCTCTGCCGCGTGCGCTCGCCGTCCTCAGGGGCTACGGGCCCGCGTCCAAGGGCAAGGCGGTCAGCGATGCCATCGCGAAGATTCCGAACAATCTGAGGCCTCGCGCGGCAACTTCAGACCCAGTTTACGTCGGATCCACGTCGGATGTTCGTCGGGATCAAGTCGGATTGCATCAGAATGACCTCGGATTCACGTCGGATTTACGCCGGAGCATCGCCGCGCGAACGTCGAACCATCTCGTACGGACTACGAGCTACATGAGACAACTTGCGCGCCGCACAAGGCCTCCCACACGTTCCTCATGACGCACAGACGTTTTCTATGCGGCAGACTCCCAGAGGCCTGGACCTCTACCAGAGTCTGGAAAAACACATGGCCCAAGATATGCACGCGTCGTGAAAACATCACGGCGCTTTCGGCGTCCTGGGGCTCTCGCCAAACCTCGGGACTGTCAAGAAACGGCTCGACATGTAAAACCGGCCCTGGGGAACCCTGCGGGGAGGGTCGGAACTTCTGGGGGCCGCGCATGTAAAAATCAAGACATCACATGTTTGGAGCTGGATTCACACGTGGCGCACCCGGAGGCCACGCGCTGGGCACACGTCCAGAAGCCCAGCCTGGGCGGCCAAAGAAGAGCCGAGCGCCGGGAAGACATCTGGCCACATGTGTATCCAGCTCGCGCTCAGGCCGCCTGCATCGTACGTTGCGGTCACGGCCCATAAGCCCGAACCCGCCCTCCAGTTTGCCACCGAGGATGGCAGCTGCAAGGGAATGGCCACATCGACTCTTGCCCGACGCGCTGGGTGTCCTACGCCAGGCACGGCGGTCGGCGCGACCGGGGCCTCGGCAAGCGGATGTGGCGCCCTTGCCATACACGAGACGGAAACAGCATGAAGGCAAATCTGGGTGAGGATACATCGGGAATCTCTGAAGGCTGGCGGGTCTGGTTGATCGACGGGTGCGCTGGGGAGAGGTGCCACACTTCATGGCCCAAGGCATGTGCGCGGACGAGGGGGGGGCCAGGGCACATGTTGAAAGAGGGGAAGGTGGCCAAGCCATCGGGGGGATTCTGTGGCCCCGGCCATGATACACAAACACGCGCACACACACACAGACACACACACACATCCACTCACTTTTTAAAATCGCGGGCGCCACGTGGTGCAAGACGGTCAAGCTCCAGTCAAAGCGAACGGTGGATTGCACCAGAGGCGAAGTGAGGCACGAAAACGAAAGAGAAAAAGAAGCGAGAAGAGAACGAAAGGGCCCGAACAGACCGCGAAGGCCGGCGCGGGAGCGCCGGGAAGAACATGCGGGCTGCGTCCAAGCAGCAGTGCAGCCAGCATGAGGTGAAAGAACTTGAAAGCGCCGAAGAACGCCAGGAAGTCCGGGGACCGGGGATGGCGCATCATAACAACAACTCGTGAGAAGAAACCGAGACTTGAAGGGGAACTCCGCGGGGCCAGATGGCTGAAAACTGGGCACCCCGGGAAAACGGGAATGACGCCGGCAAAACTTCGGCTCAAAACGGGGAACCCAACTTGCATGGTGAAATCCTTGAAGTGGCCAGATGAAAGACTGGGTGCAAAGCCTAAGCTTTGCACACACACACACACACACACACACACACACACACACGCATACACACACACACACACACACACACACTTTTAAGTCAGCGGAACAGAGGGTCGTCAAGCGCGAGGAGCAGATTGAAGTGCTTATTGCGATCGAGCTTAGTCGGAAGCACAATGAACGAGAACTCGAACACTGGAATGCACACGATGGACGGTGGACTAGAGGGCCTGTAAACCCAAAAAAAGAGAGAGCGCGCAGCGGCCAGAAAACTGAGGGGCAAGCGCAACTCCAGCGAACTGAAACGCAAGCAGCCTACACACACACACACACACACCTAGTCCCCACCCCTTGCTTGGACGCCCCGCCGCGGCCGTTCCAGAGCGTCAGAGGACGCACCGACAGCATTCCAGCACGCTCTGGAGTAACAAGTCCTTGTCCTAGGCCTGACCATCAAAAGTCCGAGTCCGGCGCCTCCGAAAGAATCGAGACGGCCAGTTGCTTCTGATCTTTGGCATCCGGAGGCTCGCTTCGGGCCGGGAGGTCGTCAAAAGACAAGACAAGCCCCGAGTGAAGAGTCGAGAGGCCCAGGGGCCCACGCACCGACAGAATCGGGCCCGCGGCCTTGCTTTCCGGAGGCCGCCCCGTTGCCCCGAGCAGACAGGGTCGGAGGCGCCCGCCCAAACCTCGAGCGCGCCCAAGCAAAAGTCACGCGCTTTCCTCGCCCAAACCTCGAGCGCGCCCAAACCTCGAGCGCGCCCAGACAAAAGCCACGCGCTTTCCTCGCCCTCCGGGAACTCTTAGCGGGGCCTCAGGACCGCCAGACAGCACCTCGGGACGCAGCGAAACCCGCCCTGGGACAAGGCCGGGACCTCCGAGGACGCCGCGGCGAAAATCTCGAGGCGCCGGATCTCGCGGCACCGCGCCACCGATGCATCGGCGGCGCCAGACCGGAGAAGAGCAGGCCCAAATCGCGCCACATCCCCCATGCATCGGTGACGCGGGTCGGTCCTCCAGCCCCATCTCCCAAACGTCGCGACTCCTTCACGACGCGGCCCCACCGAGGTCTGACACCCTTCTCTGGGACACGCTTCTCGTCTTGAGTTCCCGCATGACAGTCCGGGGGCCCACGCCGAAAACCGCCGCGAACCTCCGGCCCAGACCGACGGCGGCGGCGAACTCGCACTGCAAACGGGACTATGGCGCACCCGTGAAAACTGCAGCCGCGGGCTGAAAAGCCCCCCACCCATGAATTCGTTGCCGCTGGAATATCTGCCAAGTCCTGGCCTGCAAAATCCTGGTTTCTGGACCACGATTCCTCGAAAAGATCAAGCCGACGGATGCCTGGCGAGAGGCGAAGGTGCGAACCCAGGGAGGAGGCGACGTCGGGGGGGCCAGGGAGAAAGACGCTCGTTCCGGGGACCTCCCTGGCGACACTCGCCCCACTCATGCGCCGAAGCTGAGCTGATCGCGCGCCGACGCGAGTCGAACTTGAATCGAAGCACAATCGAACCTGAGACGGACTCGACGAGAACAGATCCGCAAGGCGGGCCGTAGGGAGGCCCCCAAAACAAGCACCTGAAGAGGGGGGGGGGGGCACTCCTGAGCAGGCCGAAAAGGCTTAATCGGCCACGGGTGGGGTTCGATATACGTCGTCGCCTGGACCTCGCCGCGGGAGACACCGCGCCCCACCGAGCCCACCATTGACCCGATGTTTCCATAGCTCCTCGAGCACAGGGCCCCCGAAGCCTCGACCCTCCCCTCGGGGCCAGCGCCGCATCCTGAGTCGACCCAGGATGGGAGACCGCCAACTTCAACGCGGGGCCCAACGAACGAAAGAACGAGTCTGCTGTCGCCCCAAGGGCAACAGTAGGGCGGCTAGGGCGGCCGGCGCGCCGCGCAGCGCGCGGGCCTCCAGGGGGGCCAGACAGGGAAAATCAAGAAGTGAAACTCGTGATCTCGGGCGCGGGGCCAGTACCGCTAAACGCGGTTCACGCGCTCGTCCTCACGCCCCTGCCGAACGTCTGACTGCCTTGCCATCTCTCGCCATGAATGATAACGTGTATCTGATGTAAAAGAAGCAATGTCATCTTCCCATCGCGCAAACCTGCCAGGCCGACATCGAACGAGGCAGGATAAAGTTCCGCGCGATTGCTGCGACCACCATTCTGCATTTCTCCGATCGGTTGTCTTGCTTGCCCATCTTTCGGGCCCACGCCAGCAATTTTCCCAGCCCGGCGCCACTTGTGTCGCTAGAGCGCCTCCGTCCAGCACGCAACGCCCGTTGTTCGAGCTGCGTCGCCAGGCGTCAACGCCGCCCTCGGCACCCACGAGAAGGAACCTTCCTCGGGTAGTCTTCCGGGCCCCACCATGCGTCGCACCATCGACCTTTGGACGTTCTGGAGTTTTCTTTCTGGCACTACTGTCAGCTTCCACGAATCAGAGCACCCCAGCATAGTCCTCGACACTGTTGCGTCGAACAACTGCGAGCCTTTCGCCGCCAAAGCGTTCTTTTGGTGAGCAGCGCAGATAAACTTGAAACCCCCGCCCATCCGGCTCTCAGTCCTGCTTCGAAATCGGACGACGCACTGCCTCCAGCGTAACCATAGTGCCCAACATGTTGAGGCCCTCCGTGCAGCTGACAGATGGATACTCTTTTCCAGCGAACTCTCATCTTCTGGCCCGGCATTGCAGCTCCCCCGACGCATCGTACGCTGCATTTGTCCACATCTACTGTTACTCCGACGTGTGCCAGCTCCACCCGGATGTCTTTCATCATGTGTCCTGGAACTTGCCTTTACTGTGCTAACAAACACATCGTCGGCAAACATAACGTATGTCAGCCGGCCCTTTCCCCAGAAAATTGCTCCATATACTACATCCGCACGACTTTGCTTCCCATGTTGTTGCCAAATTCACCGTGACATGTCCGACAGCGTTCGCGAAGAGGGCCGGTGACATTGGCCCCCCTTCCTGACGTCACGCATAATGTCAAAATATATGCTGCGAGCGGTCCGGTCCAATTGAACAAGCACTTGCTGCCGCGCAAACATGTCTTGAACTGCGCCCGCATCCTCCTCGCTCACCCCCGCTGCTCGCAGACTAACCAAAACAACAGTGTGTATGATTGTTTCAAATGTTTCCTCTAGAACGATGGATGCGGCACACCGTTTTCCCGAATTCCATTCCTTTCTCAATGATCATCCGCAAACAAAGCACCTAATCACAGTTGCCGCACCCTTTGCGAAAGCCCATCTCTTCGGGAGGTTGACATGGTTCAGAATATCGTCCATCCTTCCAAGCAATACGCTACTGTATGGCTACTCATAAATGGAATGGTTGCGATTGGTTTGTGACTGTTCGGTGAGGTTACGTCCCCTCTTTTGAACAACACCGCTATTTTTAAAATATGCCAAGACTCTGGAGCACGCGCCTCCCAATGTAGTTAATCAGCAAGCACGTCCGCAATTGCAACAATCATGCCACGACCACCATATCTTAGTATCACGGCAAGGAGCCCGTCTTCGGCGCACGCTTTCAAGCGCTTCAAAATCCTGCGCGGTCGTTTGATAAAATATCTGCATCTCACCCTTCGCCTCACGGTCTGAAGAATACAAGAAATGGAAAACTACGAATATTTCTTTAATCCCCTTCGGGTCAGTTTTCGTTTTGACCTCATTATCCTTGATGCTGGCGATGCGTCTGCTTTTGGGGGGCATTGTTTCTGGAACAGCGGCAACGTGTTCGCAACCCCTCTCTCGATCAGATCATCCAGCTGTTTGTTATGCCTTTCCCTTGCCTTTTGCCGTAGAGCTCGATTCAAACAGACTGCCTTGGTCCGTCATTCTTCTTTGGTGGCGGCCTTGTCCCTGTTGTTCCTCAACTTCTCAATGCGCTCGCCTTGGCCCAGATTGCTCGTTCCCTCGTTTTCTCTACCCGGCCACATTCTGCCGCTGCCTTCAATATTGCATATGTCACCCCTGTCACATCGTTGGGGCACTCATGCACCGTTGAGCGTCATTGTCGTTTGTTTTATTCACGTTAAAATCCCATCCTTTTCCCAAATCCGGGTGTGTATACTTTTTCTTTTTCCTCCGGACGGTGCCGAACTTCGCCCACACTGCCCTGTGGTCTGTCCGGCACATGAGATCTGACATGATGTCGGTGTTGCGCAACTCTGGCTGCAACAAAAAACATGACAACACATGTGTATATATATGCATATACATATCTATCTACATATATATATATATGTATATATGCATATACATACATATAAATATATATATATATATATATATATATATATGTCGGCTGGCACCCCCCTGTGCTGCATAAGTTGTGGGTCCGTGTGTCATGTATGCCCCACTGGTTGTTTGAAATATGTGTTGGTGAAGGTGAGCTTGTTTTGGCTTGCCCATGTCAAACAATATGCCCTGTGCGACCGAACGCCCAAGCCATATCTGCCGATGCCTAATGGATTCTTCTCTCTGGCCCGTCTCTGCGTATGCATCAATACCAAATCATACTGTGTTCTCTGTGCTTCGCTGGGACGATTGAACGTAACTGTTTCAAAGATGACTCGTAGTAGTAATAGTGGTAGTACTTGTAGTAGAAATCGTAGTCGTGGTAGTACTGTTGTGTTCAAAAGTGCTAGTAATATTAGTAGTAGGAGGAGTAGTAGTAGTGGTAGTAGTAGCAGTAGTAGCAGCAGTAGAACTATTATGATTCATGGTATTACTGCTGGTAAAAATAATACCACTAATGCACATACTATTCTTAGTATTGGTAGTACGATCAGTAATATCATCAATATCATGAGACTTATTAGTATTGGTAGTTGCGTTCGCTTTGGTGCTATTTTTCGTATGTATGATAGCTTACGTCGTAGTATTGCCCTTATTCATGCTATTAGTATTACTCCTCTTGTTCATATTGTTCGCAGTATAGGTAGCGTTAGGGATGTTACACATAGTTTCATTGGTATTGTGATTCGTACTGGTATTACGACTAGTATTCGCATCCTTGATCTTACTACGATTAGTATTCCAAGCTCCGTATTCTCTCTTTCGGGGATAGGTTTACCTCTGCCCCTCCCCCTTCTCCCTGGGTCTACGGAGGGGTGGGGTCGCCGGCCGTTGAGCGCCCAGGATGGCCCAAGATGGCTCCAAGAGGGCTCCAGATAGCCCAAGACGGCTCCCAAGAAGGGTCAGTCGGAGGGGTCGAGCTGAGCCCTGCCATTGATGCCGACTGCCGTAAGCGCACCAGGCCGAGCCTGCAGACGTGCCCGCCGCGCACACGCGCCGCCGCCGCCGACCCTCGCCCTGCACGCGAGGGCGGGCAGACGACAGACTGCGGCACGGCCTCGGCTTCTTGGTCAGCGGCGACCTGGGCCCAAGACGCGGCCCGCGCCCTGCCGCTCCCCGGGCGGCCGCCGTCCTCCAGGCGCGGCGCGGGAGCAGAGTGCCAATCGAGCTTGGAGCTCGGCGCGGCGACGCCGCGCAGCGCAGGCGAGGGCGGCTCGGGGAAGCCTCGCCGAGGGGGGAGGGGCGGCGAGGAGAGGAGGGGCCCCAGACTCGAGGATCCTCAGAACGTGTGTTAGCGCCAGCCTGTGCTTTTCCACCGAGGAGGCCCTTCAATACGGTGCAAGCGGCGCAACGAGGCTCGGCAAAGGCTGCGCGCTATCAGCGGAGCGGAACGGGGTAAACACACGCTGGGGTTAATACACGCCCTGAGGTTTAATCGACAGACATCCAAGGCCTCCCAGATTCGGCGGCGCGCACAAGGTGAGGGGAGAAGGCTTCTTAGAAGCAGGGGTGCTTCTGAGAAGCCTTCCCCCCTCCCCCTACCCCCCTCTGCGCGTGGCGAACAGATGGGGCCCGAGCAGATGGGATCGGAGGGTTGCGCCACGTCGCCGATGCATCGGCGATGCGGCGATCGGTCTCTTGGGGTAAGTACGGAACTATTTGGGCTGAATTGTATGGAACGGCTTTTGAATGAATTCGAAAAACTCCTTATAGAATTCTCGGTGACTCCGCAACTACATGATGGCTGGCATGTGTAGAACTGGTTCCCGTGTCACGGTGACTGTGGACGGTGCAGAACGGTCTACCGTTCAAGTTTTGACTAAAGTCGAAAAATTGGCACCCGTGTCACGGTGGACACTCTCCTCCCTCCCATTGCCAGATGGCGGCGAACAGACTTTGGAACAGCGATCGCTGCACCATCCTGCCGAGGACGATTCTGCCACGGCTCGCAAACTTGCAAGAGACGTGCGTTCTAAGAAATCGCATGCTGAGCTCGTTGGGCCCTGGGACTGTCAACAACAACAACGACAACCACAACAACAACAACAACTACTACTACTACCACTACTACTACTACTACCTACTACTACTACTACTACTACTACTACTACTACTACTACTACTACTACTACTACTACTACTACTACTACTACTACTACTACTACTACTACTACTACTACTACTACTACTACTACTACTACTACTACTACTACTACTACTACTACTACTACTACTACTACTACTACTACTACTACTACTACTACTACTACTACTACTACTACTACTACTACTACTACTACTACGACTACTACTACTACTACTACTACTACTACTACTACTACTACTACTACTACTACTACTACTACTACTACTACTACTACGACTACTACTACTACTACTACTACTACTACTACTACTACTACTACTACTACTACTACTACTACTACTACTACTACTACTACTACGATTACTACTACCACTACGACAACAACCACAACAACAGCAATAACAACAACCACAACGACACCAGCAATCGTGTCAAGACTCTGCAACGTGTATTTCGTGCAGCCCCTAAGGCAGGGGGAGAGAGGACGGATGAAAGGGACAAGGGGGAGGAAGAAGGATGGAGCACGAGAGAGAGTAGCAGGAGGGGGGCTAGGACCAGAAAACAGGTGGCAAAACCAGACGGGCAGATCGGGTGGGTATGCCCTAACGGGCGGGTCGGGAAGGCGGGCATCGGCGGCCAGGTCGAGCAGGCGGGTTGCTGAAGCGTGCGTCCTGCATGAATCGCGAGGAAGTCCCGAGCGATAGCGCGATTCCCAGCGAGCGAGTGACTCTGAGTGCCGAGGGGGCGGCGTCTGAATAAATTGTAAAGAAATCCAGCGCGAGAGCGCGACCCTGCATAAATTGTGAGGAAGTTCCGCGTGAGAGCGCGATTTTTAAATGAATTGCTGCTGTTGTACACAGGGGGCCAGGGGCACAATTTGGTGACACTTCACTCTCCATTGTAAAAAACAGGGTGCGAGCCCCGGGAAGAGCACTTCAATTCAAATATACAAATAGTTACCGCGTAGGGGGGATCAACAAGAATCACTCTTGAGAAATCAGAACTCAACAGCAACAGCAGCAATTACAACAGCACCACTACCAACAACAACAGCAGCAGCAACAACAACAACAAAACAAAAACGGGCGCCCTCCCTCCTACATTTGATGGCGGACACAGGGGGCTAGGGGGAGGGGGGAAGGCTTCTTGGAGGGAGCCTGCGTCTTCGAAGGCGCGGGCCTTACACCTGCAGATGAGACCCCCACCTTCTAAGAAGAAGACCTCCCCCCTCCCCCCTACCCCCTCTGTGCGTGGCCGAACAACAACAACAACAACAACAACAACAACAACTACCACAACCACAACCACAACCACAACAACAACAACAAACACAACAACAACAACAACAACAACAACAACAACAACAACAACAACAACAACAACAACAACAACAGCAGCAGCAACAACAACAACAACAACAACATCAACCACAACCACAACAACAACAATAACAACAACGACAACAATAACAACAACAGCAGCAGCAGCAACAACAACAACAACAAGAACAACCAAAAACAGACGCCCTCCTCCTGCACGCCGATGGCGCCAGGCCCCAGACCGCCCGAGGTAAGGCGGCGGGCGCAGCCCAGGGAGAGAAAAAGTCGCGCGCTGGCGGGCGGCCGCCGCGGGCGCGGGGAGAGCCGCACGCCGCTGCTTGCGAAATAAACGCCCGTGCCGGGCCTGGGCAACAAAGGTGTCCCCAAGAAGCCCCCCCGGAGGCCCCGAAGAAGGCCCAAAAGGTTCCCAGATGACCCCAAAAGCCCTCCAAGAGGCCCCTGAGAGGCATCCCACGAGCCCCTCAAATGCATCCAAGAAGCTCCTGACCCACGAGATAATTTCCAAGCTCGTCGCAAGCACTCGCTCTTTCTGTGGGGTCGGCGGAGTAGCGTAAGCCACTTGGATAAACGCCCGTACCAGGCCTGGACAACAAGATACCGAAACGCGCCCCCCTCGCCCCCGAAATTTCGAGGCTGATGGGGAAGCGGCGGGCCCTTCGCTAGAGCTGGCGTGTATCTCGCAACGCTGCGGGCTCCCTTCCAGCGCGGTCGTCCGCTGACTTTGACATGCGGGATGTTGGGGGGAGGGCCCTTTCGGTACGGTTCCTGGCGGGCGTCTATTTCGCAAACGGCGGTACCACGCTCGGCGGCGCCAGCTGTCGGCTGCACGCGAGAGAGACCCCAGGCAGGGCGACGAGATCCACACATGTCCACCGCCCCTGGCCAGGCCCAGCCTGGGCCCAGGAGCGGCGTATACGGCCTGCACACGCCCCCCCCCCCCCCCCTGGGCTTGGCCAGGGAGGAGTCTGCACCGACCCCCCTGCCCAGGATGGGCCTGGCCAGGGGCGGTGGACATGCCTTGACCTCCTCGCCCGACTGGGCGAGGGTGACCTTTGGAGCGCGGCTTTGGGGCGCCGTGGGCGGCCAGATCCTGGCGCGCTGGCCAGTGCGGGGGGGAGCAGGCGCCCCCTGTGGGCCCGCAACCAAGGCCCCTCCGGCGAAGGGTCCATCTTACGCGCGGCCGACAAGCCGTCTCGGGCGGGCCTGAGCTGGTCTGGATCGCGAGATCGGATTGGATCGCGCCCGAACCGGCTCGGCCCCTGCGGACTGGAGGGGGAATCGGTTTCGTGCCGGATCGGATCGGACCGAGGTCGGGATAGAAGCTTGGGCATCGGATCGGAACAAATCCGACCGCGAGCAGCCCTGTCAGGCTCTGGGAAGATGCTCGACTCGCCGCCCAGTCGATGCCCCCCCACGAAGCGGAGCTCGCTTGTTGTTGTTTTGTCTTGCCAATGGGGGGTGCTTTTGTGCAGAGCGGAGCTTGCTTGTGTGCAGGGCGAAGACAGGGCTCGAGGTGGACTTGCCTGTATGCAGGAAAGACTCTGCAGCACCCCCGGCTCCCGTACCCAGACGTCCATCGTCCCACCGCTTCTGGACTTCGGTGCGCTCGGAGCTTCGCGCTCAAGGGAACACAGGTGTCGCCCTCAGTCGGGAGTGCGCAGACAGTTCCATTAACCAGAGCTGGCTCAGGCCAGAAGGCTGACAAATTGCTAGAGACCGGAGAATCGAGCTCTGCGGACAACCGCCGAGAGCAGCAGATAGGAAACTTCCAGAGATAGCAGAGTCATAGATCAACCCTTCGAGTGAAGATACTTGGGATCAGGGCCAATGACCTTAGTTGCAAGCTGCGCGATGCTGTGCGAAAAAACGAGCGCACTCTGGTAAGCACGCGCGTACACATGCATGCACACGCGTGCTCACGGGCTGACTCACGAAGACCTTCATTCACCCGAAACACCTGCAGTCCTTCCAACTACTTGCTCACGTACCCAGTCACTCGCATAGACGTGCCCTCGCAACAGAAGCAGAGGAAACATCACTATACAGAAGCATGTGGAAAGAAAAAAGGAGCCTGGCCACGAAAAGGCGCCTGCGGACGAAAAGTGCAGCGCGAAAACTGATCCTCCCCTTTGCCCCAACCCTCCAATTTCCAACGCCTGCCTTCAGCACCGCGTTCTGAGATCCACGCTCGCGTGGCCGCCGTCACTGCTGCCAAGCTCTGTGCACCCATTCTGCAACAGCGAAACGACAAAGCCAGCACAACCAGCCTCCACGCTAGAAAAACACGTGGCTGTCGCAGAGAAGCCTGCCCATCGCAACCAAACCATTGACAGGAGAGCCGAGAATCGAATCGATAAGCCGGCTCTGCGATCGAAATGAATCGGGTCGGCGGAAATCGGCAGCCTAGTCGGGAGAAGTCGAATCGGCGAAAATCGGCAAGCTAGACAAGCCTCCATTGAGAAACCGACATCCGAATCGAAATCCGAAATCGCATCGAATCGGGATCAGAATCCATGGAGGTCGAATCGAATCGAGTCGGAAGGGTCGAGCTGAGCCCTGCCATTGGTGCCGACTGCCGTAAGCGCACCAGGCCGAGCCTGCAGACGTGCCCGCCGCGCGCGCGCGCCGCCGCCGCCGACCCTCGCCCTGCACGCGAGGGCGGTCAGACCACAGACTGCGGCACGGCCTCGGCTTCTTGGTCAGCGGCGACCTGGACCCAAGACGCGGTCGAGATAGCCGAGGGACGCTTCGGAGTCGAATTGGGCACAAGGAAACAAGGAAGGGGCGCGGAGGGGGCAATGACTGCCCACCAAGCCACCCCGCCCGAAGTCGCCGTTGGGCCTGCAAATTTCCAGTCGGGGGACGTTCTGGAACATCGAGAGAACGCCGTGGAACCCGTACACCCCCCAGCCCGAAAGCTTGGGGGGGTCTGTGACCTTCAGGCTGGGTTGAAGTGGTTATAGTAAGTAGTGAGGCAGAGAGGAACGGGCCCGGGCACGAGGGGATGAGGGCCCCGAGGGGAACGCGGTCCTGGAACCCAGGGCTTCCCACGGGGCCCGCGTCTCATCCTGAGCGGTTTTTTGTCGACAATCCTTGCCTCCTCCTCCTCCTCCTCCTCCTCCTCCTCCTCCTCCTCCTCTCCTCCTCCTCCTCCTCCTCCTCCTCATCCTGCTCCTCCTCCTCAAGGAGCTGTCAGGGCCCAAAACCCGAGCGAGCTCCCACAGCGCCACATGCCATCACGACCAATGATGTGCGAGGCGTAGAGGGCGGCACGCGAGGGCCAGGGCCGACTTGGGACAGTTCCTGCAAGTCACGATCTACTCCACCCTCCCTTATTACATATCGCCGCAATGAAGCTGATTTACCATAACGTTCAATGGGCAGATTTTACGAGATTGGAGGAGATATCCACACATACAAAATGCACAGACTTTGTGATATGCATAGGAACTGGACGCTGGGCAGAGAGCGCCGACATGACGGCCACCCAATGCCAACTGCCCAACCACAAGTGCGTGCAGATGGGCTGGCGCAAGTCGCGCACGACGAACAACTCCTGCGGGTTAGCGGTCCTGTACGGCAAGCGCGTACAAGGATCGATACAGCAGGTCGCAGTGCCGCCGACAAAGCTGGGGATCACAGGCAGAGTGGGCATGGTGAGATTTGCGATGCAGGGATTGTCGATTGCCATCTTCCCGATCTATGTGCCGCCGAAGGGGATGGCAGCAAATACGCTTCGACAGGTGACAAAAAGGATTCTTCGTTGGATATCGGACGAGATTGACAAACTGGGCCATGCATGTGTACCGATAGTGGCAGGAGATTGGAATTGCGGGTTCGGATACCAAATGGACCAGACGGGCAAGAGATTTGTGCAACATGACAGTGAGGAGATTGGCACGGCCGAACTGACACACGAATCGCAAGTATCTCGTCTGGTTCGGGACTTTCTGGAGGAAAATCACCTCAGCATGTTCGACACGTACTGGAGGACGGGGCCTACTTTCTTCAAAGGACCCCATAGTAGTAAGATAGACCATGTAGCGGGACCAGCAGCCATGAGAGGACGTATACAAAGACTGAATACATTATTGGGGCTAGGAAGGCGACTGCAACGATATATAAGTACCCACCTCCACGACCATGTCCCAGTGCTGATGGAAATTGACATCAAGCCGCAAGAGGTCTTCCATGGCAAGTACACCCCCGCCGTCAACAGAGACACTATGATGGCCGCATATACCAGCGGCAGGGGACGTCTTGAATACCTTAGAGAGCTGGAAAAGGAGGCGACCGTCATCCCAGAAGAACAATGGCGTGAAATATGGGATCGAGGTGATGTCCAGGCAGCGTGGAACAAGCTCTCGGAAAGCATACGCAAGGCAATGCAGCAGGTCTTCCCAGCCAAGAAGCAGGACATAGTGGACTACGAAGGTCACAGAAAGAGACGAATGGAACTACTGCGTATGCGCGGGCGGCTACGGGACCAACTACATGCGACGGGGCTGAAGAGTTTTACAGGGAATGGAAGCACAGCATTCGATGAGATAGAGGACGAGCTACGCCGACTCTCGCGCAGAATGCAGACCCTACGTAAGGAACAGAAGAAAGAGAAGATGGAGACACTAGCTGCTGAGATCCTTAAGGCTTGGAAGCAGGGACGACATGCAGAAGTACATCGACTGCGGGTTCAACTGGCGGGACGAGGCCGAGGACCGAAAAAGAGGCTGCTGTTTGCACCACGACAGAGTATGACGCTGAGTGAATGGAAAGATGGTCTTGGAAGCAAACCTCAAGATGGAGGAATGGATTGCAGACAGATAGATTGGGACGAGTGGACCGCAGACAAGTCGTTCATGCCCCACTTGCACGGCTCGCCAGAACTGACAGAACACGTGCGACAGGACAGAGCTGGCCAGATCACATATCTGCGACGTGCGCCCAAGCGGCGTGCGGGCCCCGCATGGGGCGTTCTGGCCGAGGTGTTGTGCATGGGCATCGACGAGAGCCGCTACACCAACGAGCATGACAGGAAGTACGTGCCAGTCAATTTTTCTCGTCGTTATAATGATCTACTGGCACTTATTCGGCTCACGGGAGCCTTTCCTCTCACCGCCATTAGATCACAGGCTTACGCAGCGCCTAAGAATAATTCCAAGCAGGTGATTAAAGGTCAGAGAATCTTGCACTGCTTTGACTCTTTTGGAATGTCATACTTCGGACACCTCCAGAGGACATCTCGAAGACCGAGGGCGCCAGATTTCGCACACGGGGGGATACGAGGTCGTCGGAGAGAGGGCGCCATCTTGAGTTTATCTGCTGCCTGCTGGAGATGCCGCACAGCACGAATAAGCCACAGCATGTCCAACTACGATGGCACGAACGCGTTCGCATGCACGGCACGCGACAAACTGCAAGCACATCACCACCGTTGCAGCAGAGCAGAAAACACGCACCTCATGATCCAGGCGATAGACAACGCGAGCATACACATCAATGCAATAAACGGTGAAGCCGATTTCTTGCCGCAGACTGGCACAACAATGGGACACTCTCTTGCAGCAGGAGACTTTATTGATATTTACTCACCCTCTGTGAGCGAGTGGAACTCGTATCTGGGGGAGGCAGATTACTCTTACTCCCTGCTGCGTGGCCAGTGTCCGATCAGCAAGGCCACCGTGGACATAGGCATTGGACTTTTCGTAGATGATGTTTCCAGAGTACACGTACATGCATACGCACCGAACGCGAAGTACATCACACAGCAGCTTAACCACGCGACGCACACACTGCAGCAGCACATCAACACGAACGGGCACCACCTGAACATGGATAAGACGAACCACATGATCGCACTTGCAGGCGCAGGCTCTTTTGAGGCGGCCAGGGAACTTGGGAGACAGAAAAAGGTACAGGGAGAAATTCTTCGGGAAGTCAGGGTCCTTGGACCGATCATCAGCTTCGACGGGGTTCTCAGGACAGAACTCAAGAGCCGCATCAGAGGAGCGCGTGCAGCATGGCGTTCACTAGGACAAGTATGGCACGAGCACCTCCCGTTCAAGATGCACCGCATGTTTTTCTTATGCTTTGTCTACAGCGCAGCGATTACAGGTCTCACAGATTTCGTATTGCCGAAGGAGTTTACTGACGAGATTGATTCGACACTCGCCAAGCTCCTCAGATGTCTCATGAAAGGCAGTGCGGCTACCGAATACGATAACGGACGAGTACGGACGATATCCAACAGCGAAGTTTTCGATCATTGGAAGCTTAGCCGCACTGCCACAGAGCTGAGAATTCAGAGAATACGCTGGTGGCAGCAAATTTCGAGGGAGCCTGACAACCATCGTCAGGTGCTCACGGCCATGTTCGGGACAACAGAGCTCGACATGCAGCTGGGCAGGCGCAGGCTCAACCAAGTTGGCACGCTGACAAAATATAGTACTCCTTGGGCAGTGCAGTGTCTTGAGGATCTGAAGTTCGTAGCGCAGTTTGCGCGAGACTTTGACGAAGCATGGACTGATAAGGAAAACGTCCTCTTGCCGTTCCAGGACTCCACCCTCAGTAAGATCTTTGTGAAGATAAACATAGGCTCCCTGAGGCCCCTTATGAGCACGAAGAACATTACAAGATGGAACAAGGTACTACAAAATCTAGGACTTCGGGAGATTTCGGAGGAGGATGCGATCAGGATGGGGATTCTGGAGGTCCAGAGCAACGTTAGCAGCAACAGCAGCATCGCAGAGGAGTTCATATGCACGCACGAGAACGAAGACGGCACTATATGCGCAAGCACGTTCAACAGCATGAAGGCATTAACAGCACATGTGACGCACGCACACAAGATGAGGAACCTGTATGCGCTACTGGTCACGACAAATGTATGCCCGTGGTGTCGCACAGCCTTTGCGAGTCGAGCATCGTGCCTGCGACACGTTCGCACAATGTCTCAACGGTCGCCTCGTTCTTGCCCGACTCGCTCCACGTCATTCGCTTTTCGGTTCGATGAATTACCAGTGTACTACTGCGGCTTCTGCCGCCACGAGGATACTGAACTACACAGTCATCTGGACCACGTGCAGCAGCACGCGCCAGGGCCTGACAAGACACAGCATCAGCCGAGCCACGAGCCGCAGGGCGACGAGCACGATGTGGCGATCGTACGGAGCGAGAAGCGGAGGAAGACCACGATCGGAGACGATGGACCTCGACGCCAGCGCAGCACAGTCACCCAACAAATACGGAGGTGGCAAGGGGAAGACAGGCAATGGCAAGTCGAATGGATCCGCCAACGAGGTGAACAAGGACGACGAGATAGTGACGATCGAGAAGCTGTGCCTCAACAACGCACAAATCGTGCGACAACTCTCGGGCAGCTTGTGGGACTTCTACCTGGTCGAGGGAGAGCACACGCCGTCGGAGGCAGGAGCCAACGAGGGCCAAGAGTACGCCAACAAGGTACAGAACGGAGCGAAGAATCTGGGCTCGCCGCACGTGTACATCGGAGCGACGTTCTTCGAGGAGCTGGCCAGCCTGACTACTACGCCGTCACCGTACAAAGAGACCCTCGAGCAGTTCGCCATGCTGATCAACGTCATCCACGTGGACTTCTTCGGGGACATACTGCCGTACTTCAAGGTCAAGAAGGCATACAGCGAGGCAGGGATGGGCACGAGATGGAAGATACACATTCTCTTCAACGCGCTGGCGATGAGCCCGTGGACAGAGGAGAACGAAACCAAGATCAACCAGAAGCGCGAAGCACAGGGACAGATGCCGATCAAGCTGGAGCATGCCCAGACCTACCACCTCCGCCAAGCGACCCACGTGGCCATCACGAACAGCGGGGGCAATGCCATAGTGGGGGCGCCGCCGCCGAGTGCACTGGAGCGCCGCCTCCAGAACTACCTGCGCGAGAGGCTCGCACACGTGTGAGGCAGACAGTAGGTCGATCAGCAGCCAGCAAGCAAGCAGCAACCAACGAGGCAAGCAAACAGCAAGTAAAAATTCACGAGCTTAGGCAATTAGCAGCCAAAGGCAGCGTGAGGGCAGCAGAGCTGCTTTCGAGACTCGGCAAACGCAAATGAACGGTCTGTGGGGGGAGTGGGGGGACTTGTCTGGAGGGTCTTTGCGCAGCCGAGATCTCGTTCAGTAGCCTGAACAATAGCGAGCAGTCTCACGCGTATAGGCCTCGGGGCCTTGCGGACTATGAGAAGTGCTGAACACATAGGCTTACGCCAAATCGTGCCAGCAGCCCTCCTGGAGGCATTGCGAAGTGTCATCCTCTCTTTTGTAGGGCCTCCTCTCCTCAGGACAGTGCTGCCCAGCAGCTCACCTCGGACGTCCTCCGAGGCTGCAGGAGCTCTGTGTAGAGATGAATGTGCCCAGCCGAATGGGCAGGGATCGGCTTTGGAGCGGGGAGTCGGGGAGTGGGGGTCGGGGGGGTGGGTGTGGTTCCTTCATAATGCAGCGACGAGTAGAAACGGCCGGCTTCGACACAAGCAAATAGCGTTTCTTCCGACCCAAGTGCGGTGGGGATGGGCCACAGTGTCATAAACCACCGCCCTGGACTGAGTGTTTTTTGAGTATGGACACAGGGGGTTCGGCCCTGAGCCGAAGTGGGCCCAAGGCCTCGTCGGTCAAGAGGGTCCCACAGGCTCCCTCGAGTGTCCGCCTTTAAACCTGCCAGCAGTAACCCGACTCGCTCAAAGCGAGTTACACGCGAATCGAGTTTTCCGACCCGAACCGCACCGCTGCCGAGGCTCTCGACTCGACTCGACTCCTCCTCCTCATCCTCCTCCCTCGTCTCGCTCCCTCGTGCCCCGCCAACCTGCCCCACACTGCCTAACCATCCCCGATATCCTTCTCCTCTTCTCCTCCTTATCATCATTATCCTTCTGCTCCTCTTCCCCTGTTTCCTTCGTCACTCAAACTCCCTCGTCACCTGCCAACCTGCCCCATATCCTGGCCCTTCTACTGCTTCACTTCCGATTACCCCCGCCACTCCTCATCGTCGTCGTCACCGCCAACTTGCCCCGTCTCCACATGTTAACCCTCATCGCGCTCATACAATCAAGGTTCATTGAAGAGGACACGCGAGAGGACACAAGACCCTTCCGAAGGCCACATTGCCATAGGAATGCAGATGGCATGGGTCGCGACACACAGGCCACAAGGGTACCCTTGATCTGACAGGGTCGACCTACTAATCAACCTCAACTGTACTCCAAGTCCGCTCCCTCCCAGGGGCTCCTGCGCACCAGGCGTGGCCCATGGAAAAATGCTGAAAAATGCCGCCCGCGGGGGGCGACAGGGCGCTTCGGACAGAAGCTGGCGTGAGCCAAACACAAGGCATCGACCACTGCCGCCGCCGCCGCCGCCCTGTCCGCCTGGAATGAGAGGAAACTCTTCATCGATTATGTTGCTCTTGCTGATGCTGCTCCTCCTTCTCAACTTGTGTTCCTTTCCCAAGCACGCGATGTCTTGACTTGTCCAACACGCGGTCCCCAGAAGTTCTGAATCGGTGTTTGACGGCCGCGTGGCCCGCGAGGGACCCAGGAAGCAGAAAACGGCCAAAACCCTTCCGTTTATTTCCCGACGCAAGCATGTGTGCTTTCTCGTATGCCTTCTCCCCCCCGCCCGGACCAGGCTGGACCAGTAAGTGCCCCGACTGACTCCCAAATCGGTGCAAACACAAAATCTGAATCACGCTGGGAGGAAGAATAAGAAGAGGACAGGGAGGAGCTACAGCGAAGCGGTAACACATAGACCACAACGACTCGACTTCTATTGTGAGTCAAGCGACCAGGCCAACAAAAAAGGGCAGAGCTGCTGGAGATGGTCACTCCCCCTCTCCCTCCCCCTCGCACCTCCCCATCATCCTCCTCTTTGCTACACGTTATGCTGTCTCATCCTCCTCCTCCTCCTCCTCCTCCTCCTCCTCTTCCTCCTCCTCCTCCTCCTCCTCCTCCTCCTCCTCCTCCTCCTCCTCCTCCTCCTCCCCCTCCTCCTCCTCATTCTCATCCACATCGTCCTTCTCATCCATACCGCTTCCTTATAAATAACTCCTCTCTGTCGCACTCCGAAGCCAGTCGCAAGGGCGGGCTGGGAGTTTCGCCTGTCATGTCCGTACAATGTATGATCCTGAAGATTAGAAGTTGGCATCAGCTTCACAGATGGAGGGCGGGTCGCTTCCAAAATGTAGCTCTCGCCTTAGCGCCGCGACGTTCGATTTCAATTGCCGCAAGAGCTTCAGGGATGGAGGGCGGGGCGTTTTCAAAATGTGGTTCTTGCCCTGGAACCGCGCACATTCGCCTTAAGTTGTTGCAAGAACTTCCCGGATGGAGGACGGTTCCTTTTCAACATGTGGCTCTCGCCTTGGCGCCGCGCACAATCGTCTTGAGTCGTGGCGTTGGGGTCCCCTGAATGTTGTTGGTGTGGCACGGTACAGGATCTTCAAACAGCTGTCTCCCAACGGGGCACTTTCCTCTGTGAAAGTAGATCCTTGTTGGGGCCTAGGAACAGGGTGCTTGGCTGGATGATGGATTACAACATCGTGATGGGTCGTGGGTTGACACTGGTCATCCTCCTCCTCTTCGTCATCAACATCACCAGCAGCAGCAACAGCAGCAGCAGAAGCAGCAGCATCACCATCACCATCACATCATCATCAGCATCATCATCATAAACAACATCGCCATCGCCATCGTCATCCTCATCATCACCCGCATCATCGTAGTCATCATCAGCATCATCATCGTCGTCATCGTAGTCATCATCATCAATCGTATCAGCCTCATCAGCATCACATCACCATCAGTAGCATCACCAGTATCCTCATCATCAGCAGCATCAGCATCATCAGAATCAGCAGCAGCAGCATTACCATCAGCATCACCATCACCAGCATCATCATCATCGTCAACACCATCACCATCAGCAGCAGCATCAGCATCATCATCGTCATCATCAGCATCAGCATCAGCATCGTCATCGCCATCGTCAGCATCATCTTCCTCCGCAACATCATCCTGATCGCCTTCATCAGCATCATCAGCATCATCATCACCATGGTCACCATGACCATCGCGCCATCAGCATTATCACTATAAATATCAGCATCACCATCGTCAGTGGCATCATCATAATCATCATCAGCATCATGATCATCGTCATTAGCAACATCATCAGCATCCAAACCTCCACCATCATCCATCATCATCATCATTATCGCCATCATCCTCATCATCCGCAGCATCAGCATCACCATCGGCATCGTCAGCATCATCATCAGCAGCAGCAGCATCAGCATCACCGTCAGCATAAGCATCAGCAGCATCACCACCACCATCATCATCAGCAGCATCATCACCATCATCATCATTGTCATCGTCGTCATCGTCATCATAAACATCACCATCCTCGTACTCCTCCTCCTCGCTCCCTCCCTCCCTCCCTCCCTCCCTCCCTCCCTCCCTCCCTTCTATGACCGTCACATTCGAAGAAGGGCCCACCCCCCACCGCCCAGTCGGCAGCAGCAGCACCCCCGGCAGCCCCCCCATCCCTTTGGCTACGCCACCCGAGCTGCTCAACAGCTACGGCGCGGGCCTGCAGCATGGACGACGGGTCAAACTGGGCCCCTGGTTTCGAAAGCGTCTTACACTCGCTGGGCTCCGAGCGACGGCCACAACGCCTGCACTGCAACGCGGAAGAGCCAGGAGCCAAGGGAGGGAGCAGGAGGAGGAGGGGGAGGGGGAGGAAGCGGCAGGGGCAGGAGAAAAATGAAGATGAGGATGAGGAGGAGGATGAGGAGGAGGGGGAGGAGGAGGGAGGCAGGCAGGCAAGCAGGCAGGAAGGGAAGGAGGAAAGACAGGAGGGAGGAGGGCGGGGGCTGAAGGGCCGACAGGCTGGCCCCCGGCAGGCGACGAGGCAGCCGCGCGGGCTATCGGCATGGCTGGCTGAAGGGCCGGCTTGCTGGACCCCGGGAAGCACGCGGGCCCCAGGGGGGACGCCTCAATGGTGCGGCCGTTGTTGTTGTAGTCCGGGGGAGCAACAACGCAGTTTAGCCCGGACTTAATTGTAAAGAAATCTCGAGCGGGAGCGCTGTTCCTGAGTAAATTGGGAGGAAGTCTCAAACGGGAGGGGGGGTCCTGAGTAAATTTGGAGGAAGTCTCAAGCGGGAGCCGCTGTTGCTGTAGTCCGGGGGGCCAGGGGCACAGTTGGACCAGGAAGACTCTCCCTGTCAAAAAACAGGAAGCGAGCGTCGAGGGACACACTTTGACTGAGAAAAAACAACATGCACCGGTGAGGGGGGACCAACAATCATTATTTTTCAAACATGAAAACTCAAGGATTACATCTAGACTGGAGCCCCATCCACCTCCAGTGCTGTGGGGCCCCTGTCCACGTGCTGTCTGATAGGGCCAGCACCCGGATTGGGGCCCCGTCCCTCCCCCCCCCCGCGCAACGCAACGCAACGCAACCCTCCAGCCTTTGAAAATAAATGAGGAATTGTAGCTTTTGTGTATGTTCGAGGGATTCCTGCCGAGTACCATAGAACAGTTTCAGATCACGAGAAAAACAACAGCGAGAGCGCGATTCATGAACGTCGAGGGCGCGGCGTTTGAATAAATTGCGACGAAGTCCCACGCGAGAGCGAGATTCCCGCATAAATTGAAAGGGCGTCCCGCGCGAGAGCGCGATGTTGGAATACATTGTGAGGAAATATCAGGCGGGAGCCGTTGTTGTAGTAGTTCGGAGACCAACAATGCAACTGGGTGACCCCACACTTCCCTTGTAAAAAAAGAAAGGTTCGAGCCCCATTGGAAAACAGAATAGTCACCGGGCAAAGGGGATCAAAAATCATTGTTCTTTAGAAATGAGAGCTCAACAACAACAACAACAACAACAACAACAAGAACAACAACAACAACAACAACAACAACAACAACAACAACAACAACAAGAACAACAACAACAACAACAACAACAACAACAACAACAACAACAACAACAACCACAACCACAACCACAACCACAACCACAACCACGATCACAACAGCAACCACAACAATAATCATCTTAAGACTGTTCGCTCTTTTACGCGCGCGTGCCATTCAACGCTCTATCCCGAACCCTCGATACCCGCCCTCTTCTTCTTCCATCGTACCCCTGGGGGGGACATCTTCCTTGTCTGCAACGTGTATTTCGTGCAGCCCCTAAGGCAGGGAAGGAGAGAACGGCTGGAAGGAAGGGACAAGAGGGATGGAGGATGGAGCACAAGAGAGATTAGCTTAAGGGGGGGCTAGAAGCAGAAATCACGTGGCAGAACCAGACGGGCAGATCGGGCTGGCAGATCCTAACGGGCGGGTCGGGGAGGCGGGCCCAGGCGGCCAGGTCGAGCAGGCGGGTTGCTGAAGCGTGCGGCCTGCATGAGTCGCGAGGAAGTCTCGAGCGATAGCGTGATTCCCAAATAAATCGCGAGAAAAGCCGAAGCGAGAGCGTGATACCTGAACGCCGAGGGCGCGGCGTCTGAATAAATTGCGAGGAAGCCCCACTCGAGAGCACAATTCTTACATAAATTGTGAGGAAGTCCCGCGCAAACGCGCGACTTCGAATGACATTCCACCGACACCAAGATCTCGCATCTCTCCGTCCCCAGACATCCGATGTCTTCATTTGCTCAACACGCAGTCCATCGAAGTCCCGACCCTTTCCCTAGGGCCGGCTTCTCAGCCCGAGTCGTTCTCTGACGGCCCGGGGTCCCGGCGACGGCCCCCTGAGGCCGAAAGAGAGAGAGAGAAGAAAAAGAAAAAAACAAAAAACGTCGCGACTTGTTCGAGGCGCGAGCATGTCTGGGAAATCCCTGCTTCCTCGCAGGCTCTCCCCATGGCGCCAGGTCTGGCGCGGCCGGCGCAGCCCCGAGCCTCAGCCGCCGTCTTCCCTGGCGTAGAAGCCGGCGCCGAGCACGTCGGCCTCGGCCGTCAAGGCGTACCTCCTGGCCTCCCACGCGCCGACCGGGCAGTGTCAGAGAGGGGTCACCACTGCGTCAGGAGGCAGCTTCGTGGCGGTCTTCGTCAGAACGCTGTTCAGCCCGATTAACGAAGTACGAATACGCCGGATCAGGCCCAGGATTAAGCCCTACCCCAGATTAAGCCTGTTGTCGACTACGGATATACCAGCGACGATGCCGAACTTAACCTCCCAGGAGTTACATCCAAACTGGGGGATCACCAACCCAGACATGCTCGCGTCGTGACCAACATCACGACCGAGGGTTTTTGGCTATGTTCTGCCTCCGTGGGCCATCGCTGGGCCCCAGGACCGTCAATAAACTCCGCGTGCTCGCGTCGTGCTCGCGTCGTGAGCAACATTACGACCTGGGGTTCTTGGCCTTTTGCGGCCTCCAGGGGCCCTGGGAGGAAAGGGATCTGGGAGGAAGAACTGGTCCCTGGGAAGTGGTCCAGAGCTCTGGAGACCCCGCATCAAAAAAATCGAAGGTCTGAGATCAGGGGGGTCACCAGCTCCTCCTGAGGATCCAGGTTCCGGGACGAGAGCTCGAGGCCGTTGGACGTTTGAGGTAGTTTGGGGGGCTCCAGGGCGCTTCACGGGCCACAGCTCCTCGAGTAGATGGCGCTTCCTCAAGGAAGCGGCGACCCCCCTCAGTGGTGACCCCCCCATTGGCACTGCCTGAGCTGAAGGTCACGACGCTGCCCAGCTCGAAGTCCCCGCCTGGGGCAAACCAGGTGCCTCGGAACCTCCCGCCGGCGTCGCCGCCCGCGTCCGCCTCGTTCCAAGATCTCCGGGCGATCTGACCTTTTCAATCTGGTCGTTTTCCCTTGATTCTGGTCCATGGGGCCCGTTGTCGGACCCCTAAACCATCAAAAGTGGATCCAGGGCGGAAAACTCCTGGCAGGGGGTTGGGACCTACCAGGCCGCGCATTGAAAAAGTCGCATCGGCGGATGTCAGGGTCCCGGAGGGGGGGGCACCTCCAGTCGATCCGAGTAGGTGAGGTCGCAGCGGAACTGGCAGCGCCAGCCCAGGCAGTCGCCCTGCCGCACGCGGAGCTGGAAGGGCAGGATGTCGAAGCGGTTCCTGTCCTCGTGCGTCTGGGCAGTGGAGTTTGGCCGGCGGGATGGGCCACGTATGAATATGGGCGACCACTGCCGGCCGATCACTCTGAAGCTGGGCGCCCCCTCCGACCCCGCCGCGCGCTTCACCTCGCGCAGCACGAAGAACTCCAGCCCCTGGAACGTCGCAATCTGGGTGGGGACGGCGAGGTTCAGCATCGTCAGCATGCCGCGCCAACTCATCAGAGGACCGTGGCGCCCAAAGCAAAGGGAGCCGTCCACAGCAATCCTGTCGCTGCCCCCGAGGTCCACCCGCAGCGCCTCGCTGGCGAGGACCTGCTCCGAGCCGACCGACGCCACTGTGTCGAACTTGAGCATCGCCGCCGTGCGCAGCAGCTGGAACGTGTTATCTGAGAACCCGCCCCCGTTGGCGTGGGCGATGCAAATTGGCCGCTGGAAGAGCACGGAGTGCACCTGGCCCGTGCGCTGGTGAAGCGCAAAGCTACGCGGCGCCACGGACCGCTGCGCCAGGTTCACCGCGACGCTGCCGCCATAGTCCAGGGTGACCTCCCCGGGGAAGTCGAGCAAGTACTGATTCCAGAAGGTCGAATAAGAACAAACAAATACGTAGACATGAACTGTCCGAGATCCGTGTGGATTTCTTGGCTGGGCGCGGGGCCCCGCTCCCTGGCGCCGAGGGAGTCCAGCGCAGATCCAAGAAAAATCCGCGAGGAGCTCCGAAAGCGCATGTCCGTGCTGGTTTTCTCATTCGAGAGGAACTGGTGGGTCTTGCCGCTTTGGCGGAACTCCCGCTGTCCGTGCAGCGGTTGCTGGCGCTGCAGCGGCAGCAGCCGCTGAACGGAGAGCAGTCGCCGGATGGCGACCTCCAGCGCCGCGGCGCGGCCCCCGTAGACACCGCCGTTCACATAGACGGCCAGTGCTCCGTCATCCGTGAATCCGCGCTCCTGCTGACTGCCGCGTATGCCGCCGTCATCCGACTTGGCCAGGCAGGGCTCGTGCTGGTCCACGGGGGACGCCTCCCACCGCACAGGGAACGTTGACGGGGGCCGACATCGCGGCAGCTTCTGCGCCTTTGCAATCTCCTCGTGGTCGGCCACGGGCTTGGGGTATCCTGCGAGACCCGCAGGGTAGAGGTCAAACTCGGCGGCGAAAAAAATAGGTTTACCCATTGCCTCAAACGCTTGTGTAAGATTCGTGTCGCAACCGAGCCAGGCCGTATCAAAGGCGTCGAGGTACAGGACTAAGCGGTCGCCCATTCCACGGCGCCGAAGGTGCGCCACGTAGGAAAGAATATGGCGCTCCGCATCGAAAAAACGGAAACGCCAAGACTCGTCTGGCGGGCGTAGCATCCGTACAGGACGGTGCCACGGCGCCGAGCCCAGCAGCGCGTGCGCCCGAGCGGGAAGGTCGGTCACGGTCACGACGTCGAACGCTCCATCTTCGCCAGCACCGTCCAAACACCTGTTGTCCAGCAGCGCTTCTGGCTCCCACAGGGTCTGCCCTGGGTGGAAGAGGCGCAAAATGTGCCACTCCCCAGCGCCCACCCGCGGAGCGTGCCAGCGGCCAGAGAGGGAGACGGCGTGCCTGAGCAGGAGCAAGCGCCAAGCCAGCGATTGAAGCCCAGCGTCGTCTCCAAGGCAAGACACCGGCACGCACGCCGCGAACCAGCACGGCCTGCCCGCTACGCGCTGGCGATGCCGCAGAGGGCACTGGCTCAGACCGTGGCAGACTGTCTGGAACCGCGAGCAGACACCAGCTGGCACGCGGGCCGCAACCGACATGAGCCCGTCGGCTGCACCCACGCATCGTAGCCCCTCCTGCTGCAGTGCACCTGTGCGAAGGCGTCCTGCCACACTTCGCGCGCTCAATCGCAAAATCTCTGGTAAAACAACATTACTCCTTCCGGCAGCGCGGCAGGACACTGTCTGCACCACGTCTGCAAAGGACGACGTACTTGCTGCCACTGCAGCCGACAGTGTACCAATGATGGTCTGCAAGAATGCAGCTACAGACATCTAAGCACTGCATTGGAATTCACGCAAAGAGGCTTCAAAACAATCCTCGAGCCAAAAAAAAACACGGAGAACCTCCTGGTACCGATTGTGAGCGTCGGAAAAAACGTTGCTGATCTGACGGTTTCAATGGTGTATGCGGGGATGGAACTGGAGGTATACGTGCCGACGCAAACATAGAATGCAAAGTACGCACGCAGACTACACAAGATGACGGTATACTAGGCGAAACATGTACACATACTGTTACAGAGAATGGCAGAGGCAGATACAGATAACGATAGAGAAACATATAACAAAAACAAAATGAGAGAGAGATGAAAAATACAAGAAAAAAATGCGACAACGATTGCGCGTGCCTGCATTTTGGTACGTATCGAAGGTTATAAGATGATTCCGGAACCGAACCGAACCACCCGAATCAAATAGGGCCGAACCGAACAGGTGCGAGCCGATCTTCTCAACGCGGAACGAACCGAACCGGTCGTTTCGACACTCGAACAAAACCGAACCGAACTGGCTTCGAAATTGATCCTGAACCGGGCCAAACATCCTGCCCGAACCGGACTGAGACGGACCCAACCAGAAGACGACGAGCACGACGAATGCGACGAGTACGACGAACACGACGAGCACGACGAATACGACGAGTGCGGCGACGTGAACGACCAGCGCAACGACGAATACAACGAGTAATTACGACGGGCGCGACGAATGCGACGAGCACCACGAAATACAATGAGCGCGACCTGGGTCTCCCTGAGGCCCTCCCTCCGGCGGACCCCCTCCGGTTCGACGGCGCCAAATAATCGCGGGGGCCCCACCCCCGGTTCAAACGCGCCGCCTAATGTTCTCAAGGCGAGCGCCCGTGAAACGCGCTCCCTCCACGCTTCTGGGGCCCTGGCCATCGTCTACCTGCCCCCACCCGTCCTGCCCGACCTCCACGCGATGCCCAGCGTGACTCGCTACTGCTAGGGCGTCTGGCGGCGCGGCCCGCGCGTGACCCCGTCTGGGCACGTGCGCCGCTTCCTGGCTGTGCACGCGGAGGGTTCCGAGTACTCCGCCCCTCGTGGCGGCAAGGGCAGCGGCCGCCAGGCCGCTTTCGCCGTCCAGATCGAGTGGCGCAAGGACTCTCGCTGGGCTTCGCGGTTCCCCACAAAGAGATGGCCCTCCTCATCCGCAATGGTTCCTCATTCCCGAGCTACCTCCGCGAGCTGCGAGAGGGTGCCGAAACCATTGGCGAAATTCTTCTGGACCCCAAGCGCCAGTCCCTGGACTACCAAGGCAAAGATCCACCACCCTGCCCCGAGGAGGCTACCGGCCCCGACGTCCCACTTTCCAGGCGCCGCGCGGGCTCGACTACCTCATCGGGACCACCGAGACATGGCAGGGGCGGGAAAAGGACGTCCTTGTCATCTGCCTCGCGAGTTCGAACACCCATCAGGCGTTTCGGCACGTCGACGAGCGCGAGCGCATCAACATGCTGTACTTTCAGGCCAGGTGCTCCGTGATATTCATCACCGACGTCGGCATGACTGAGTCAGCATCCGTATCTGGTGTCCAGGACCCTGTCAGGTGCGCGCACAAGGCCAGCCTCACATGCTCATGCCAGTTCAAGCTGATCGATGGCGCCTTCGCGTGATCGAACATCGACTCGGCCCTCATCCCACCCGAGGGGGGCATCCGAGAGGGAGCACCCCAGGGGGGGACCCCCCCCTCCCCCTTTCACAATTACACAATATCAATACTACTCTCCTCCCTCCTCATGACGTCCAGAAGATATCTGGCCCCCCTCCGCGTAGTTTTTTCACACAGGATTCCCTGGAGTCGGGTTTTCGCTTGGTTTGTTTCCAAATTGTTGTTCCCGCTGAAGGCCTGGCCTCATTTTCGGGCTCCCGCTCGTTCATAATCGTGATCCCGCTGCAGACCTGACCTCATTTCCGCGCTTTCGCTCGTTCCGAATCGTGTTCCCTCTGCAGCAGTGGCCTCATTTTCAGTGCCATGCCATTGCATGCAATGCAATGCTATGGTGCGTTCCACAGTTCGATGCTACGCCTTCTGCTGCAAGCTATGATATGCAGTGCTTGACTACGCAGTGCCACGCCATACTATGTCATGCTACGCGTTGATGTTCAACGCCACGTCATGCCATGTAAAGCTGTGCCATGCTACGACATCCAATTGCGCAATTAGAAGGGAGTTCTAACCCCATGGTAACGGATGGGAGGAGGGGTAGGCCATCAGATACGACGCTTGCGCGCCTAGCTCCCCCCACTCCCCGACCCCCCCCCCTGGCGCCGGCGCCAGCGCGCCGGCTCCGGTGCCTGCGCCGGCGGCGGCGGCTGGCAGCGCCGACGGCAGTGACGCGGCGACGATGACCAAGACGAAGACGACGACAACAAGGTCCCTTGTAGTCCTCTGTCCTCGGCCCCGAGTGTCGGAACATTGACGGGCCCGGACCTCAAATATCAATATTATTCGCGTTGCGTCGCGTGCCTCCCGCGGTGTCCATCGTCGTCGTTATCGCCATCGCCACCGTCGTCGTCGTAGTCGTCGTCGTCGCCGTCGTAGCCGTGGTCGTCATCGTCTTAGTAGTCGTCGTCGTCATGCTCGGATTCGTCGAAGGCGCCGTCGTGGCCGTCGTCGTCGTCGTCACCGTCGTCGCCGTCGTCGTCGTCGCCGTCGCCGTCGTCGTCGTCGTCGCTGTCGTCGCCGTGGTCGTCGTCGACGTGGTCGTCGTCGTCATGCTTGAAGACGTCGTGGTCGCCTTCGCCGTTGTCGTCGTCGTGGTCGTCGCCGTCGTCGTCTTCGTCGTCGTGGTCGTCGTGGTCATGGTCGTCGTCGTCGACGTCACAGTCGTCGTCGTCGTCGCCATCGCCGTCGTTGTCGTCGTCGTCGTCGTCACCGTCCTCGTCTCCCTCGTCTTCGTCGTCGTCGCCGTCGTCGTCGTGCTCGTCGCCATCGTCGTCGTCATCGTCCTCGCCGACGACGTCGTCGTCGTCGCCGTCGCTGTCATCATCAACGTTGTCGTCGAGGTCGTCGCCATCGTAGTCGTCGTCGTCGTGGCCGTCGTCGTCGTCGTCGCCGTCGTCTGATTCCTCGTCGTTGTTGTCGCCGTCGTCGTCGCCGTCGTCGTCGTCGTTGCCGTCGTCCCCGGCGTCCTCATCATCGTCGCCGTCGTCGTCGTCGCCGATGTCGTCGTCGTCGTCGCCGTCGGCGTCGTCGTCGTCATCATCAACGTCTTCGTCGAGGTAGCCGTCGCCGTCGTAGTCGTCGTCATCGTGGCCGTCGTCGCCGTCGTCGTCGTCATCGCCGTCGTCCCCGTCGTCAACATCATCGTCGTCGTCGTCCTCGTCGACGACGTCGTCGTCGCCGTCATCATCATCGTCGTCGTCGTGGTAGCCGTCGCCGTCGTAGTCGTCGTCGGTTTGGCCGTCATCACCGTCGTGGTCGTCGTCGCCATCGTCATATTCGTCGCCGTCGTCGTCGTCATCGCCATCGTCGTCGTCGCCGTGGTCCCAGTCGTCCCCCTCAACGTCGTCGTCACCGTCGTCGCCGGTCTCGTCGCCTCCGTCGTCGTCGTCGTCGCCACCGCCGTCGTCAACGTCGTCGTTGTCGCCGTCGTCGCCGTCGTCGTCGTCGCCGTCGCCGTCGTCATGCTCATCGTCGTCGTGGTCGCCGTCGCCGTCGTCGTCTTCGTTGTCGTCGTTGTCACCGTCCTCGACGTCGTCGCCGTCGTCGTCGTCGCCGACGTCGTCGTCGACGTCGTCGCCGTCATCGTACCCGTCGTCGTGGTCGCCGTCGTCGTCGTCGTCGTCGTCGTCGTCGTCGCCGTTGTCGGCGTCGCCGCCACCGTCGTCGTCGTCGTCGTCGTCGTCGTCGCCATCGTCGACGTCGCCGCCGTCGTCGCCGTCGTCGTCATCGTCACCGACGTCGCCGTTGTCGTTGTCGTCGTCCTCGGCGTCGTCGTTGTCGTGGTCGCGTTCGTCGCCGTCGTCGCCGTCGTCGTACCCGTCGTCGTCGCCGTCGTCGTCGTCATCGCCGCCGTCGTCGTCGCCGTCGTCGCCAGGGCCGTCGTCGTCGCATTCGTCATCGTCGTCGTCGCCGTCGTCGAAGTGGTCGTCGTCGTTGCCGTCGTCGTCGTCGTCGTCGCCGCCGCCGCCGTCGTCGTCGTCGTCCTGGGCGTCGTCACCGTGGTCGTCGTCGTCGTCATCGCTGTCGTCGCCGTCCTCGTGGTCGTTGTCTTCGTCGCCGTCGCCATCGTCGCAATTATCGTCGTCGTCGTCGCCGTTGTCGTCGTCGTCGTCATCTTCGTTATCGTCGTCGTTTGTCGTCGTCGTCGCCGTCGCGGTCGTCGTGATTGTCGTCGTCGTCGTCGCCGTCGTTGCCGTCGCGGTCGTCGCCAGCGCCGGCGCAAGCCTGGGGCGGGGAAAGGGCTCGACCCCCCTGGGGAGGGGGAAGGGGTTCGAACCCCCCTCCGCTTTTGAACCAGGGGGAGGGAGCGGCCCGTTTCTGGAGCCCCCTCCCCTCTAAGCGCCAACAGAACGCGCTCTTTCGGAACGCAGGGGAGCGCCTGCTCAGCGTCGGAGTCTGGAGCGGGGGGCGGAGCGTCGATGGCCCAGTGGGCCCGCGGGACCCCATTCGCACGCGGACGCTGATCGTCGCTAGGCTTGGACCTAGGCTACCCATCGTAATCATAGCGGGACAGCCAGACGACCAGGTCGCTGGGGCTGCGATTCTTTTCTCCGAGCAAAATAACTACGTCCCCGCGCCGTTGGAAGCATTTCAAGGACTTGGCCATGAGGAGGGAGATCTTGTAGCCACGCGCGACGGCACGCTGAGACCAGCAGCGCGGGGCGAGCTGGGAGAGGTCGCCAACTATCCATCACGGTCGAGGCGAGCGGGAAGCGGTTGATGAGAATGAGAGACAGGGCCTGGGGTTGCACGGCGGCCCCGCCCATGCGGACGGCGCCGAAACGCGGGCCCCGCGCCTGGTCGGGCCCGCGGAAGAGTCCGCAAAACTTCTACAGCGCAGGGCCGACGACCTTGAGGGGGCGGGCAGCATGCCTGGACCACCGCTTGAGAGCGTCAGTCGGCTTCGGGCGCCGCCCCCCTTCGCCCGCCCGCGGTCGCGACCAAGTGGGAAGTTTGACCTTCTCATACCTGCCGTCGATGGTCAGGGGGCGCAGGGAGGGCACTCGGATGAACGCGCCGAAAAAAGGAGGGAAGGGTTACCACATCGCGCTGGCGGCTTCGACCCGTCGAACTCGAGGAGGTGGTCGACGGCGTCGCTGACCGCCGAGTTAGCGCCGCTCGTGACGAGAACGGGTCACCCCTTCGGAAGTGCGCTGGCGCGTGGGAAGGCGAGCGCGGCCAGCAGGCGCGCATTTCCGAGGCCCGTGGGACCTGCACCGCAGTCCAAACGTGGGTTGTGGACCTTGTGAGCGCGGCTGTCTAGTCGCGGCCTGGCGCGAAGGGCCCAGCGACCTCTTGGATCTTCGCGGGAGACGGGATGTTGGACAGCGGTCTGCGAAAAACAGACCCGTGGATCCGTCGCCAGTCGGCGACGCCCGGGCGCGGGCGGCGGTCGCGCCATCCTCAACAATGGGCCGGGGGCCAAGGAGGGCGACGGCTGGGAGGCGCCATGGGGCAGGGGGCGAGATGGGGCCAGGCGGCGGCGGGGGCGCGGCGTGCGGACCTGTCCTGGGGACGCCGGCAGCGGGAACCGAAGCCCCGAGGTCCGCCGACCAGCACTGCCGATGGACTGAAGGTAGGCGATCGGGTTGATATGCAGCCGGTCGGCGAGGGGCAGCGCGGGGAGGGCTTATGAGACAGGCGACAGGCGTGACGGTCGTCCCCTGGGTGCGTCTGCGGTCGCGGTAGCTGTCGAAGAACGAGCGCACGCCGCGCGCGACCCTGCGGCGCTGGAGCACGTCGGGCGGGACGTCGACCCGCAGCAAGGCGGTCGATTCGATGGGCCCCTCGCGGTGGTTCATGTCGATGAGCGGGCACGAGTCGCGGCCCCAAAGGGACGCGGAAAAGGTTCTCCTCGATGTCCTCAGGGCACCGGGGGAAGACGGCCATGACCTGGTTGACGTAGTCCTCAAGCGGGACAGAAACCGAGAGAGCGAGGTGGACCCCCATGCCCGAGGTCAAGGCATCAGTAAACTTGCGCGAGGCAGGGAGGCGCTCGTCCAAGAGGCAGCTATCCCAGAGCTGCCAGGTTAGCGGCGTCGGCGGCGGAGGCGATCCAACCCGACTTGGGCGAGAGTGACGCCGAGGGCCACGCGCGGCCAGCGCGCGGGAGTCGCTCGCGCGCCGTCGTCTGCGAGGGCCCGGAGGGCGTCGCCCCAGGCGTTGACCTCGAACGCCTGGAGGAACGAATGGGCGCACTCGGTCATGGGCGCGTGCCAGTAGAGCAGGGGGGCGACGGCGCCGGGGATGTGACCGAAGGTGAGCTTGCCGAGGTCGCTCACTGGCGAGTGCAGGTCGCTGGGGTAGTCCAAGATCGACTTGGCGTTGCCCATGCACTGCGTGTGGTGGGCCAGAATGGGCTTACCCTGCGGGGGGGAGGGGGGGCTGCGGGGCGGCGGCGCATGCGGGGGCGCGGCCCTCCGCGAACGTGGCATCGACGTCATTGAGCGGGCGCGGGCAACGGTAGGTGGCCGTCGGAGCCTGGCCAAGGCCGCCCACGGTCTGCGCGCCCCGGGGCCAAGGCCGCCTTCACCCGCGGGCGCGGCGAGGGCGTCGCCGTCGGGGCCGACGCCCGACGACGCGATGGCCTCCGGTGCGCAGACGGCCAGGGGGAAGCAGGCGCGGGCGACGTGATCGCGCGGGCGGGTTGAGGAGCGCAGCCCCCAAGGTCCTGAGGCGGCACGAACCGCGGCTGAGCGGGCGCGCGGCAACGCGCCGTCGTGGTCGGGGGGCTCCCGGCCCCACCCAGAAGACGAAGGAAGCTGCACCGCTGCCGCGGCGGGCGGGGCGACTCTCCCGTTTGCCATGGGGAGCAAAGGGGGGGGCCCAAGCAGAGGGGGGGCCGCCTGGATTTCGGCGAACTCTCTCCACGAGAGGACGACAGGAGGGGGCGCCCTCCTCGTCGAGAAAGACGCGGCCGCACGGGTCGCGCAGCCAAGCCCCGAGACAGGCAACAGGGTCCGAGGCGACAAGTTCGCTGTCGAACGGGAACATGGATGGGACGCAGCAATCGACCACGGCGGCAGGACGCCACCTGGCGCGCTCAGAAAGCCCGTTGACCAAAACCCACCCTCAGCTCGCGCAGAGCCCTCGACGGTGACGCGGCGGCTCCTGGCTGGCCCCACTAACGCCCGTCGACCTGGGCCCACCTGCGGACAACGAAATGACCAGAGAAACGGCGAGCGCACGCTCGGCCGCGCTGCGGGGCCGCAAGGGCCGCATAGAGAGCGCGTAACAAGAGCGAGCCGCGGGGAGGGAGGAGCGTCGGCGACAGCGACCGCCAAGATCACGTAGGCATCCTCGGCAGGACGCACGCTCCTAGAGCAAGGCCTCAGGGGGAGCGGGCGGCGCCCAATCCCAGAAGCCCATGAGAGTAGGCGCCCCCCGTGCAGCCGCGCCCGCGGCTGCGGCAGGGGATGGGTCCAAGGGGCGTTCGAGGCGCAGCGGCGCCAACCGCATGGGACAGGATCGCGGGGCACCCTGGGGCGCCGGGAATTGGGGAGACGGGGCCAACAGCGAGGGGCACGGCGAGGGGAGTGGGGCACCTGACACAGCTGAGCCCCACGGCACCTGCAAGCGCGGGAAGGACACTTCCCTCTCGCGCGCGTCAACGCAAGCGCAGCGAGAGGCGCGCAGAATCAGCGAAGAGCAATATGCCGCCCACAGCGCGGCCCTGTTTCTCCAATGCTGCGCTGGCGTCGCGGGCATGGACGTGGACTATCGTGACGACCATCCAACGGAGACGTCGACCTGTCCTGGGGTCGCGAAGCCCAGCGAAAGCCCGCGGAGAGTCAGAGGCACCAGGCTCGGCAGCGATCGGAGCAAAGGTGCGTGGAAGGGCGTGGACTCCAGCGGAACTGGTCAGAGCGCCAGGGCCTGAGCGCGCGCGGCGCGAACAATATCCTCGCTACAGATACTGCCAGCAGAGAACGAGAAAATCCGCCGCGGAAGTCAGCGGCGACGGGGGCGGCGACCACGCACACCAAGGAAGGCGCCGCCGCGTCGGGTCGGGGCGCGCGCGACTTCTGCACTGCGGCCCCCGTGCCAGCAGGTCGCCCGCATAGCTGCGCGCGGGCGGGCGACGACGTGCTGCTCGAGGCAGCAGACCGCCATGGAGACCCCACCAAATAGAACACCAATAGGGGCAGCCACGCGAGCCGATTGGCCTCGCGCGGCGCCACGGAAGGCTCGCAGTTGAAGACGCCCGGCCCTGTCTCCGCATCGGGCTGCCAACAGTGACGAGGCGCAGGGCTTCGCCAAGCTTTCTGCACCTTCGGGCTGGGAGGTGGCAGTAGAGGGGCTGGCCGCCCCGAGGGCGCCGCACGCCCCCGGTCGACAATCACGGCAGGGGCGGAAGGGGATTGCAATGAGGCCCCACGCTGCGGAGCGGAGCAGTTGAAGGCGAGCACGCTGAGCAGGGCGACCATGGAGTCGCGGACGCAGAGGGCCCGTTGGGCCGCGAAGGCGGCGGCCACCCGCGCGTTTCACGACCCGACTGAGGAACTCTGCCTCGGCGCCGTCCGCGGCCAGGCCCCCGCGGCAGTCGCCCGGAGAGACGCCCCGAGGGCGGGGGCGGCCAGACCGATCGGCTCTCAGAAGGGTCGTTCGAGCCTGGCGAGTCCCAGCGCCCACTGCCCGCCGGCGGCATCAGGGCCCCCCCCGCCGGGTCGAGGCAGACGTCGCGCGCTGGCTGCGACATGCCGGTTGCGCCACTGGCGGGAAAAGCGGCAGCGCCGGATCGCGGCTTCTCTCCTACCCGTTCTCCCCGGCAGGCGGCGCCGGGAGGGCCCGGCCTCCGCGCCGCGGCCCAGCCCGGCGGCGCTTGGCGGGAGCGGCCGGGGGAGCGCCTGCGCCGCTCTCACTCCGGCTGGTTCGTTCCCACGCTGGCTGGTTCCAGGAGCGGCGCGCGCATAGATATCTGATTGCCGCCCTGGGCGGGGCGTGGGGCGGGCTCGGGGCTGACGGGGCGGGCGGCGTCGACGACGAGCAACTCGGCGAGCCGCAAGTCGTTGTCCAGCTCGGGGGCCGGCGGAGCGCGAACGACGCGGCGTCGGCGGAGGCCCAAGAGAACGGCGCGCCCCCCCTCGCGCCTCATGGGCCACGCGACCACGCAAGCAGCTCCCCAACTGTCTAGACAGCGTCCATGGAAGTGGTGGCCACGCGATGGAGCGATGAACCCCCGCGCGTAAATCGAGCGCTGCAGGCTGGGCTAGGGCGCCAGGGCGAAGAGGAGGTCGCCGCGGAGAGGGCCAACGCAAGAACAGTCTAGCGGCAATGTCGGCGAGCAGAGCGAAACCCCGCCCTGAGGAGGCGAGCGCCAGGTGCATCCACCAGTCGCGGAGGTGGGAGGAGCTGCGGACGCAGGAAGCGCACGAGGGCCTGCTGGAGGTCGGCAGTCATGGTGTGCCATAGGTAATGCCTGGGGTCGACGCTCCAAGAGTAGCACTGTCGACTGTAGCGGCGGCAAGCCAGGGCCCATGTATGCTCAGCTACAGCTGGGAGCACTTGACCAGGACCTGCCCTCCGAGAGGAACTGAAGGCGAATGGCGAGACTAGGACCCTGCGAGCCTGGCCCCTTGCAGGAAATGTTCCCGACGCGAGCGGTCGCGCACTAGGCGCGAGACAAGCGCGGGGATCTACACGGCGAGAGGAGGAGGGGCGCCCGGGGAAGGGGCGGGCAGGGCGTTGCCGACCTTGCGCGTGGGATTGAGGCCCTTGCTTGGCTCCTTCCAGCAAAGCCCCAAATCATCTGCAGTGAGAGTATCCGCGGGTGGCCCCAGGCGTCCAAGCGAAAAGAAGGACGGCTCGCTCGGGACGGGGCCGGGCGTAGACTCGGCCCCAGGACCAGAAAAGCCCGACCTGCCAGGGGCACGTCCCACGACGCGCTCACTGAGCGCGGCGAGAGCGCCTGGAGCGCTTTCCGGAGAGCGCGCGAGCCCCTTGGAGGCCGCCCGGGCGGGCCCCAGCAAGTCCTGCATGGACGCCCCTCCACAAGGAGTCACAAGGAGACCGCACTTGGGAGACGCGGAGGAAGGGTGGCGAGCCCCCAGAGCAAGGCGCGCGGCAGGCAGGACGCTACGCCCAGCGTCGCGGTGCGATTGGTAATCGGCCATCTAGCCGTGGGCGGAGTCGAGTGTAAATGGCAGCGCCCGGGAGAGGCAGCGCCAAAGGGGCGGGCATGCCCTCCGCATACACAGGGGGGGTCTTTCGACGAGACGCGTCGGGGGCGTCGACCAGACGCGTCGGGGCGAGCCCCACGGGAGGCGACCAGTGCGAGCCGCGGGGGCGGCAAAGGGGCGAGGGGCTGCGGCTCCACCCCAAGCGCTGCCCAGGAGACCAAGGGCGCCCTGAAAGCTCCTACGCACCCGGCGCCTGGGCCGGCGCTTCCGGGCGAAGCTGGCCAGCGCGAAACGGGCACGAACAATCCCAGCGCCGCCCGCCCTAGGCCTTCCAGCTGAGCGCGCTGCAAGCACGGGGGGGGGGAACAGATTCGCCGCGTCCTGTGTCTGGGACGCGCCGAATCAGAAAGCCGGGGGCCCGCCTCGCGAACTCCCCCCGCGCTGAACGCTCACACTGGAACTCCGGCGTCCGCCGTGGTACTCTTGCTGAATCGGACGCCGACCTGGGCGCCCCTCTGGGCACCACGCCCCCTCAGGGGGGATTTTTTTGGCAGGCGGGGCCCGACATTCCCTCGCCCAGATCTCTCGCCCGAGAAAACATCACCACCACTTCGCCCAAAGAACTTCGACATCCACAGCGCGGACGGCCCGTCGCCATCGCAATCGCCCCGCGCGCGCCCCGCATCTCGGAGGAGGAAAAAGAGGACGAGGGAGGGGGGGAAGATGAGGGAGAGGAAGAAGGCGAGGAGGAGGAGGAGGAAGAGGAGGAGGAGGAGGAGGAGGAGGAGGAGGAGGAAAAGGCGGAGGAGGAGGAGGAGGGAGGAGGAGGAGGAGGAGGAGGTAGAGCAGGGGAGGGGAGGAGGATGAAAAAGGCGAGGAGGAGTGGGAGGAGTGAAGAAAGGGAGGAGGAGGAGGAGACGAGGAAGGAGGGAGGGGGAGGAGGGGAGGAGGGGGAGGAAGAGGAGGAGGAGGAGGAGGACGAGAGGAGGAGGAGGAGGAGGAGGAGGGAGGAAGAGGGGGGGGAAGAGGGGGGGAGGAAGAAGGAGTAGTTGTAATAGCAGTACCTCCGAGGACGAGGTGGTTCCTACTCCTCGTTCGAACTCTTACGCCACCATCCTGCGGCCTCGGCGCGTGACCCTGAACGTTCACGCCCCCAGGCGCTGCCGCTCCCATGCACGCATCCCCCACCTGTCCCTCCAAACCCTCTCAAGAAATCCCTGAAGTCAACTCTTCGACCCTCGAGCCTT